GCTGAGTGCTCACTGCAGCTCCCTCAAGGACCTGCCATGCATGGCTTATGCACCAAGTCTGTTCAAGTCTGTTGAGGGAGTGAGGGGTCTGGGGGCAGCAATCCCCTGTTTGGCCTGCCAGGTGAAGCCTTTGTAATTGCCAATGCCTGGGCCTGACAGATTACACATAGGATTTTGGCCTGGAGCCCAAATAATTCCTCAACTCCATCCTTTGATTTTTTTCAGAGCCCAAGCGAGAAACATAGGCTACCCCATCACAGACCTGAATGGGTTGGATTTTGATGGTCTGTGTTAGGAGCCAGGTTATTAGTCTGCAGTTACAACAGACCATGGTCAGGATCAAGATCACTCCTAGCAGGATGATCAGGCCTGCCTGCAATATAGAACATAACCATGAGCCCCAGTGTGACCATTTGTTCCCATAGCCCATTGAGTCTGCTTTAGAAAGACAGGCTTTTTTCCTAAGCCTGGCAATGAACTGTTTTACTTTGCCAGTCTCACTGATCAAGACAGCATGAAGTATTGCCAGTTGCACAGGCCTCTGCTTGGCCAGCAGTATGTCAAGGACTATGTACTTATTCAACACTAGTTAGGCCTGGGAATTGAGGCTTGCCCATCGTGCCTCCAAAGCTGAAACAGCAGCATTCATGACCTCAGTGAGGGTCAAAGACAGGTTGTGCACAGTGTTTTCTAGTTAAATGACCCAACAATGGGAATTGTCTGGAGTCCATCTTTTTTTTTTTTTTTTTTTTTTTTTTTGAGACTGAGTTTCGCTCTGTTGCCCAGGCTGGAGTGCAATGGCGCAGACTCGGCTCACCACAACCTCCGCCTCCCAGGTTCAAGCAATTCTCCTGCCTCAGCCTCCTGAGTAGCTGGGATTACAGGCATGCACCACCACGCCCAGCTAATTTTGTATTTTTAGTAGAGACAGGGTTTCTTCATGTTGAGGCTGGTCTCGAACTCCCAACGTTAGGTGATCCGCCCGCCTTGGCCTCCCAAAGTCTTGGGGTTACAGGCATGAGCCACTGGGCCCGGCCATTTGTTCTTTTTAATTTAGGCCTGTTGGTGGTTCTGGATTGCAGGCCTCTTTCGTTTTCAGTCTGGCATGTGTGGGAATAAAAAGACAGCCCAGGACACACAGTGTTATTCCTGCCTCTGGGTCCTCAGCCAGTCTGCCTCTACTTTCCGCCTCTTAGGGTTGTGGTGTGATTATCTGTTGATTTATTCCCAGGGTATTTAGGTGTATTTAGAGGTGAGAAGCAGGGGAAAGTGAATCTATGCCATCGTGTCTCAGAACTGGAAGACCACCCCAACCCCACACACACTGAAACTGCAGAAGAAAAACAAGATGATAATTTGAATGAAAAAAACATATTATTATGCAATCATCAAATGTTTGGACGGAAAGTGTTCTTAGACATCCTCTAGTCTAATTTCTCACATTTGGAAATGTTGAAGTTGGACTAAGAGCTGAATCGACCAGCCTCACCCCCAGTTCAGCTGCCTGACTCCCCAGCCTGTGTTCTCGCCGTTGCACACCAGGGTCTGTCCTGCAGCTTTGAAAAAATGTGAACTTCATGTTCTGCTCAGTTCCCAGCCCTCCCACAGCAGTTTGCTAAGAGTCTGTTCTGGCTGCAGAAATTGCAAAAGTTGTGTCAACTGGAGCACTGGCAAAATGTTCTTCATTTGACTGTCATTGTTTTTTGGAATTTTGGGGGGCCAGGGAGGGGCAAGAAAGGAGCTGCAATTGCCCTTGGGTAAGATTTGCTTAGAATTTTAGGAAGAAGTCAGTTGGGCGCGGCGGCTCACGCCTGTAGCCCAGCACTTTGGGAGGCTGAGGTGGGTGGATCACGAGACCAGGAGTTCAAGACCAGCCTGGCCAAGATGGTGAAACCCCATCTCTACTAAAAATACAAAATTTAGCCAGGGGCAGTGGCAGGCGCCTGTAATCCCAACTGCTCCAGAGGCTGAGGCAGGAGAATTGCTTGAACTGGCGGGGTGGAGGTTGCAGTGAGCCGAGATCATGCCACTGCACTCCAGCCTGGGCAGCAAAGTAAGACTCCGTTTCAAAAAGAAGAATTTTAGGAAGAAATCTATCTGATTCTAGAATTATCTAGGCTGTTGAGAATGTGTGTCTGGTGGCCACTGGGACATCAGGGCGAGACTTTTCTTTTAACTGCATGTATGTGAATTAGGTTGCTTCTGGAGCCTACTGAGAGCTCGCTGGGTCCCTGTAGCGTCCAGGCTGAAGGCTCCTTCCTTCTGTCTATGACCTTGACCCTCAGCTCCACATTTCCCCAGGGGCTACAGGATTTCTCTGAGAATCCTCATTAGCACAACCAACTTTTTGGAAACAGAGCCTCACTCTGTTGCCCAATGCAGTGGTGTGATCTTGGCTCACTGCAACCTCTGCCTCCCAGGTTCAAGTGATTCTCATGCCTCAATCTCCCAATTAGCTGGGACTACAGACACATACCACCATTCCTGGCTAATTCTTGTTTTTGTTTTTTTTTTTTTTTGAGATGGAGTGTCGCTCTGTTGCCCAGGCTGGAGTATAGTGGCGCGATCTCGGCTCACTGCAACCTCCACCTCCCGAGTTCAAGCAATTCTCCTGCCTCAGCCTCTCGAGTAGCTGGGACTACAGGCGCCCGCCACCACACCTGGCTAATTTTTTATATTTTTACTAGAGACAGGGTTTCACTGTTTTAGCCAGGATGGTCTCAATCTCCTGACCTCGTGATCTGCCCACCTTGGCCTCCCAAAGTGCTGGGATTACAGGTGTGAGCCACTGCGCCTGGCCAATTTTTGTATTTTTAGTAGAGATGGGGGTCTCACTATGTTGGCCAGGCTGGTCTTGGACTCCTGGCCTCAAGTGATCCACCTGCCTCAGCTTCCCAAATTGGTGGGATTACAGGTGTGAGTTGCTGTGCCTGGACAGCACAACATATTAATGAATGACAGCCTTGAGTTTTGAGGATAAAACATTCCATTTCCTTAGTACAGTAATTAAAATCTCTCTCTTTTTCTACTATTTTGGTAATTAAGCAGGTAAAGAAAAATATCCAGAACAATATAATAGGGAGTAGAGAAAGAAAATCCTGAGGAACCACGCCCTGTGGGTGGATCGAGTGCGGGGGTCCTTGAGCGTTGCTGGTTGCAGGAAGGCCCCGGCAGAAGGGGGCTTTGATGAGCATCCACCTTGCATGCCGAGTGAATGTCTGTCCAGATGAGGTGCGGGTGCAGCTGACAATGGAGGCGATTGTAACGGACTATCCCAAGTAGCAACATCATCAATTTAGGTTTTCAGCCTGAGTGAGACTTTCAGTTAATACTCAACTTAAAACAAGATGCACATTTTCCTTCAGAAATTCATTGACAGTGTTTTCACTTTGGCACTATTGATCTATGATATTAAATGGCTGAGATGCAGAGGAGACACTGTTGTGTAATTTCTAGTGGCTGCTCTTTTTGTCCGTATCTGTTCATTGTTCTATCCACGCTGTTCTGCCACGCCCCTTTTTCACTTACCAACACGTTGGAGATTACTCCCTACCATAGCATTTCCTCTCCTATTCTCTAGCCTGCCTCATCACTCTCTTAATGGTATCATTTTCCAAAAAGAAGCTCTTAATTCTAAAACGGTCCTGTTGATGTTTTTTTCCCTTAGGGTCAGCACTTTTTGTGTCCTTTTTGAGTTTTTGTCTACTCCAATATAAAGACATTCTCTTAGGATTGCTCATAAAGTTTTATTGCTTTCTCTTTTTTTGAGACAGTCTTACTCTGTTGCCCAGGCTGGAGTGCAGTGGTGCGATCTTGGCTCACTACAACCTCTGCCTCCTGGGTTCAAGCAATTCTCATGCCTCAATCTCATGAGTAGCTGGGACTACACGTGCCCCCTACCACGCCCAGCTAAGTTTTGTATTTTTAGTAGAGGTGGGGGTTTTGCCATGTTGGTCAGGCTGGTCTTGAACTCCTGACCTCAGGTGATCCGCCCACCTTGGCCTCCCAAAGTGCTGGGATTACAGGCATGAGCCACTGCACCTGGTCAATTGCTTCTTTTTAATATTTAGATTGACTATCCACCTGGATTTGAATTTTGTGTGGGTAGGAAATCAAGGTTCATTTTATTTTTATATGGCTATCTTGTTGATCTGTCATTATTTATTATAAAGACCATCCTTTTTTCACTTCACCTCATTGTCACCTTTACTCATGTATCAAGTGAGAATACAGTGTGAGACTTTAAAAAATTAATAGATTATTTTAATTTTATTTTTTCCAAACGATTGCATTTATTATAAACAAGGGTACAGATCCTAGATTCAGAAACACAACAGATTCTAAGCTAAGACAGATCTGGTGAAACAGTAATAGAGGGAGGAGGAACATCGAGGTATTCATGTCTGGGCCAGAGCTGCCATCCAGGGCCCCACACCCCACCTTTGGTCCAGATGGCCCCTTGGCCCAAGTGTTCCTGCTGCCAGAACACCCTGGACTGGGGTACAGGAGTTGCATATTCCATGAGGCTGGTGTCAGGGGAAGCAGGGACGCACAGTTGCCAGGTTGTCCGTCTCTCTGAGCCAATTTCCCTCCACAACCCTGGGGTTTCAGTCTCATATCAACTAATCATGTTTTAAAACAGAAAACAGGCAACATGTTTGGCTAAAATAAAATGAAAACACTGCAGGGAAGACACCTGAGTGTGCTGGTGGACAGGAGCCCTGCTCACCTGTGGGAAGGGAGGGCAGCAAGGGCAGCAGAGCTCCCTGTGGACAGCTAGGCTGTGTGTGGCTGTGGCCCTCCGGGTGGTCCCAGGAAAGAGGGACAGGGGACAGTCCGGGCAGACAGCTATCAGGTGAGTAGGGCTCTGCCTGAGGTGTTCTGGCATCAGGGGGCTGCCTGCCCCCCAACAGGCATGACACAGGCTCCAGGGAGCAATGGGACATCTGCCTAAAGGATCAAAGCCCAACTTGGTTAGATCCCAAGCTTCGCCTACATCACCTCCAGCAGCAGCTGGCTACGCTGCTGAAACCAGGACACATCTGCATCATACAGAAAGCTGCGCCATTCTGGTGTGACAGGCCATACTTGGTCACCCTAGGGTAAGCTGGAGAAGAACTCCAGATGTGCTCTGGAGAACCCCCTACCTCTCAGGGGCCACCTCACAGGGTGCCCCCACCACCCCATTCTTTGAGTTTGGCTTGAGATTTTTAGGAAGCATAATTTAAGGTGAGGAAGAAAACAAAGTCTGGTCCCAGCCCACTCTGGCAAGGATCGTTCCCCACCTCATCAGCATCAGAGGAAGCCACATATACAGGCAGGACACACACAGCACACATGGGCCGTAAGGAACCGTGCCTGCACACCACTCACACACACACAACATAACCAAGTGGCAGCCAGAGAGGCTGGGGGATGCTCAGAGGGGCGCCTTGGGGGCATCCATGTAGGCTGGGTTGTAAGGAGGCTGGCTGGCAGGGTAGGGCGCGGCTGCTCCTCCAGCCAGGGTCTTGTGGTAGGCCGGTGGGCCCATGAGCAGGGCCGGGTAAGGTGGTGGGTACTGCATTGGGTAGGGTGCTGCTGGCATCCCTGACTGAGGCGGCATGGTGTGGTAGCCCTGGTAGCTTGGTCCAGGGTAGCTGGGCAGCACACTTGGAGGGACATGGTCGGCGGCACGTCTTGTACAGAAAGCAGCAGGAGCAGGTGAAGCAGATGATGATAGTGACGACAGACAGCACAAAGATGGGCAGGCCAACAGCCAAGGTTGCTTTGAACCCCATGTTAGGCTCTGCCTTCACCCAGAGGCCTCCTGTACCCCTGGGCTTCCCCTCTTCCCATCGTGGGCCACTCAGTTTCAACTTTCTCCCCTTTTGGAGAAAAGGAAAGCAAATCTCCTCCAGATGACGTCGGCCACAGGAAGCACCAATAGGTTATTTTTTAAGAACAGTTTTAGGTTTAGAGAAAAAATAGAGCAGATTAGCTGGGCATGGTGGTGTGCACCTGTCGTCCTAGCTTATTCATATGCTTATTTTCCATCTGCATATCTTTTTGTGAGGTGTCTGTTCAGATCTCTTGCCCACTTTTCAGTCGGGTTGTTTTCTTATTGTTGCGTCTCAATCAGATTGACTTCGGGAGGCTGAGGCGAGAGGATCGCTTGAGCGCAGGAGGCGGAGGTTGCAGTGAGTTGAGATCACACCACTGTACTCTAGCCTAGGTGACAGAGAGAGACCCTGTCTCAGAAAGAAAAAAAAAAAAAAAAAAAGAAAGAGCAGAAAGTAGAGAGTTCCTATATACCCTCTGCCTCCCACCCTTCTCCCCTCCCCACACTTTCCCGTTATAACATCTTGCATTAGTGTGGTACATTTGTTACAAGTGATGGACCAATATTGATATTGTAGGGGAGGACAAATCTGTTTTCCTTCTACCCTTCTAAGTTCATGGCAGAGAACCCTATAACAGAAGATAGATTAATAAGAGAAAAGTGCATAAACATATTTAATGTAAATTTTATGTGACATGGAAGCCTTTATAAGGAAATGAAGACTCCAAGAAGCTTACAGTTTGATGTAGGTTTGATAAAGGGTGGACAGTTGTGAAGAATATGGTAGAGCAAAGAGTTTGAAGTAAGTGTAGTCCGCTGGGGGAAGCTTATCAAGGCCCGTTTGTTTAGTTAGATTCCTCTCTGTGTCCCTTCATCTTCAGAGATACGGACGCTCCTTTCCACCAGGTATAGGGAGGGCATCTCTCACCTGAGGGTCTTATGACCTGGCTTCAGGGGAAGGTCAGAAAACCCTTTCCACACATGCTGCTTTTGCAAATTCCTTCAGCTTAAAATATTCAATATGTCATTGTGTTAGTTTGTTCTTGCATTGCCATAAAGAAATACCCGAGGCTGGGTAATCTATAAAGAAACGAGTTTTAATTGGCTCATGGTTCCACAGACTGTATAGGAAGCATGACGCTGGCATCTACTTGGCTTCTGGGGAGGCCTCAGGAAACTTACAATTATGGTGGAAGACAAAGGGGGAGCGAGACATCTCACGTGGCTGGAGCAGGGGAAGCGAGAGAGCAGGGAGGTGCCACATATTTTTAAACAACCAGATATCATAAGAATTCTGTCATGAAAACGGCACTATGGGGATGGTGCTAAACTCTTAGAAATTAAACTATTAGAAACCACCCCCAAGATCCAATCACCTCCCACCAGGCCCCGCCTCCAACATTAGGAATTACAATTGGACAGGAGTTTGGGTGAGGACACAAATCCAAACCATGTCAGTCATGGTGCCATATTTTGTGGTAGCATGTCCTGAATCCCATCAATAAATTTTTCTGAACTAAATTTCCGTAGTTTCCATTAGGGTTCACTTTTGGTGTTGTACATCCTGCTGGTTTTACCAAATGAATAATGCCATGTAGAACCGTTACAATATTGTACAGAATAATTTCACTTCCCTAAAAATTCCTTGCGTTGAACCTACTTACCCTTCCTCCCCTGACAACTCCCTGGCAACCACTGTCTCTATAGTTTTTTTCAGAATGTCACAGTTGGAATCATACAGGAGGTGGACTCTCCAGATTGGCTTCTTTCACATAGTAATATTCATTTAAGGCTCTTCCATGCCTTTTCATGGTTTGATAGCTCATTTCTTTTTGTTGCTGAATAATAATCTATGGTATGGATGTGCCACAGTTTATCCATTCATTTACTGAGGGACATCTTGGTTGCTTCCAACTTTTGGCAGTTATGAATTACAAATAAAGCTGGTATAAACATTCATGTTCAGGTTTTTGCGTGGACATAAGTTTTCAACTAATTTGGGCAAATATCTAGAAACGTGATTGCTGGATCCTGCGGTAAGCATATGCTTTGGCCAGGTGCGGTGGCTCATGCCTGTAATCCCAGCACTTTGGGAGGCTGAGGTGGGATCACCTGAGATCAGGAGTTTAAGACCAGCCTGGCTAATACAGTGAAACCCCATCTCTACTAAAAAAAAAATACAAAAATTAGCTGGGCGTGGTGGCGTGTGCCTGTGATACCAGCTACTCAGGAAACTGAGGCAGGAGAATCACTTGAACCTGGGAGGCGGAGGTTGCATTGAGCCAAGATGGCGCCACTGCACTCCAGCCTGGGCAATAGAGTGAGACTTTGTCTCAAAAAAAAAAAAAAAAAAGGCCGAGATCCCACTACTGCATTCCAGCCTGGGCAACAGAGCAAAACTCCATCTCAAAAGAAAAAAAAAAGAAAAGAAAATTCTGGAAAAGCTAGTTCAGTGACATGAATATTGGAATGAGAGCCTAACAAACTCAATTTCTTCCTTTCTAAATCCGTAGTGTGGATTCTTGTCTGCAGTAGTTTTTTTGAGAAGGCAGAAGGGGTAGGTATTGGCAATCAACAAGCTGCAGAATATACCGATTGAGGTCAGAAATTGTAAATGTCCATGACCGTCTGATCATTTCAATACCAAAAGAAAAAATTAAAATCCCAACTGCTAAAACCTTTGTCTTAGACAACTGTTTGAGCCTCTCCCTACAAGGCCCAGAAAGGAATTAGATACATGTGAATGCAATCTGTTTTCCCTTCCCTTCCGGCTCTCTGGAGGAGGAGCCTAGGACGGTAGTCAAGGCCAGCTGCCAGAGAGTCAAGGAAGGGGGAGCAGCCCCATGGAATCCAGAAACCATACCACTCTGGCCCACGGGTTAGTTATATACAACCTCCCAAGTTGGCAACAAACAAAGGGCATGCACATTCGGGAGATTTTGGTTTCACTGTCAGTGTTTATCTTTGAAGGGTGTCACATCCAGATGAATGGGAAGGGTGTGTTGCAGTTGAGCTGAGGTTTGGTCTTTCTTGACTTTTTTAGGGACACTTACAGGTCCAAACCTGCTTTCAGCCGGCTGGTGGGCATGGTAGGAGACACAGTAGTCTCAGGACCAGGCCTTCAGGTGGGAGCTGAGATTCGAGAGGGTGGAAACCACTTGAGATTGAATCAAAGCAGACCTGTCCTCATTCTGTGCTGGGCAGGAGCCAGCTCTCCATGTCCCTGCAGCTCCAGCAGCACCTCCGGATCTTTCAGCTTCCCTGGGACTAAGGACCATGCACATTATTAATTCCGATATAAATAGTCACACAGACACATGTCTCAAGATGAGGGTGAGAAGTTGGTTACAGCAAATGAAGTAATAATGATCTCTGTGCTTCACAATAGGGATTCAACCAACCTGAGGTTTATAATTCACTTATTAACTCTTTTTATTTTTATTTTTTGTGGAGATGGAGTGTCCCTCTGTCACCCATGCTGGAGTGCAATGGTGTCAATTTGGCTCACTGCAACCTCCTGGGCTCAAGTGAGTCTCATGCCTTGAGTGGCTGAGACTACAGGCACATGTCACCATGCCCAACTAATTTTTTTGTACTTTTAGTAGAGATGGGGTTTTGCCATGTTGGCAAGGCTGGTCTCAAACTCCTGGCCTCAAGTGATCCGCCTACCTCAAACTCTTCAAGCGCTGAGATTACAGGGGTAAGCCACTGTGCCTGGCCATAATTCACTTATCGGTCTTTATTATATACATATAAAAAATATATAAAAATATGTATTTTATATATAAATATATATAATACATATATAAGAGTGTGTGTGTGTGTGTGTGTATATATATATATATATATGATATGACTGGGAGAATCTAGGGTCAGTGTCTTACAAATGGCACAAGTTGAAGCCCTGAGACTCCCACTCCCACCCTGCTCCCCCCATTCTCAGTACTGCCCCTCAGAGGCCTCCAGCAGCTCATCCATTTCTGCTAGGCTGGGCCTGGGTACATGCAGGGAGATGTGTACAGGGGCTAAGAGCAGAAACTCTCGAGTGAGACACTCCTGAGTTGATGCACTGGCCCTGCCATTTGTCAGCTAATTGATGTTGTATTTAATTGTATCATCTGTATGTAAGCCTAATAATTTGTAGCCATCTTAGAGATGTTGTGAGCTTAAATAACATGGTAGTGAATATTTATTTATTTATTTATTTAATTTATTTGTTATTTAGACAGGGCCTCGCTCTGTCACCCAGGCTGGAGTGCAGTGGCGTGATCATGGCTCACTGCAGCCTTGACCTCCCACACTCAAGTTATCCTCTCACCTCAGCCTCCTGAGTAGCTTGAGACAACAGATGCACGCCACCATACCTGACTAGTTTTTAAAATTTTTCTGCAGAGACGGTGTCTCCCTATGTTGCCCAGGCTGGCCTCGATCTGTTGGGCTCAGGCGATCCTCCTGCCTTGGTCTTCTAGAGTGCTGGTATTACTGGTGTGAGCCACTGCACCCACAGCCTATTTACTGAGAACTGTGGAAGGCCCAGGCACTATTCTAAGAGCTCCAGCTGTTTTATCTCCCACATTTTTGCTCAGGTAGGAGTTCCAAAGCTGGAGCTTGAAGATTCATATTTTTAGAAATTTTGCAGTGAATTCTGAGGTGGGTCAGATTGAGATTCATGGCTATGCATTCATGTTTAGGTGGTGACTAACCACTCAGGGTTTTAGAGACAAACAGACCTCATTCTGTCACTCACTGACTGAGTGGGGCCAAGTCTTTCAACCTCTCTAAGCCTCAGTGTCCTCATCGATAAAATGGGACCAATCATAGCATCCACTTCTGAGAACTGTTCAGAAGTGGAAATGAGCCAGTTTAGGTGGCTGTGTCTGGCATACACCAATGGTTTGGTAAGTATTAGCTTGTGCCTTTATTGGGCCAACTCCTTTTTGTTAGGTGACTGAGAAACCAAGGACCTTCTGATCTTTATTCATCGTTCACTATTAGTTTAAATTTGTTGCTCTTCCATCCACATGATTCATTCCAAATCCTAAGTGTTGGAGAAAGGGAGTTAGTGTGTCATAGAAAAATCTCTGTTTTGGCCCAGTAGGACTGAGTTTGACTCCATGTAACTGTTTGAGCCTTAGTTTCTTCATCCATAACATGGGAGAACAATACCCTGAATTGCTGCAAGAATTAGAGATAGTTCATGTCAAGGTATAACATATAGGTAAGTGTTATTGCTGGTGTTCTGGTTATAAAATGTACAAGATGTGCAAGCAAAAGGGCAGAAAACCCTTTTTAAAAATTCATGGCTGGGTGTGGTGGCTCACACCTGTAATCCCAGAACTTTCAGAGGCCGAGGTGGGCGGATCACCTGAGGTCGTGAGTTTGAGACCAGCCTGACCAACATGGAGAAACCCTGTCTCTACTAAAAATACAAAATTAGCCGGGCAAGGTGGTGCATGCCTGTAATCCCAGCTACCCAGGAGGCTGAGGCAGGAGAATCGCTTGAATCCAGGAGGCGGAGGTTGCTGTGAGCCGAGATGGTGCCATTGCACCCCAGCCTGGGCAACAAGAGCGAAAATCCATCCCAAAAAAAAGAAAAAAAAAATTCACATGGGAAACAGAGGCGGATGGCAGAGAACAGGGGAGTGGCTGGGCACGGTGGCTCATGCCTGTAATCCTAGCACTTTGGGAGGTCAAGGCGGGTGGATTCCTTGAGGTCAGGAGTTCGAGACCAGTCTGACCAACATGGTGAAAACCCGTCTCTACTAAAAATACAAAAATTAGCCAGGCGTGGTGGTGGGTGCCTGTAGTCCCAGCTACTTGGGAGGCTGAGAGGCAGGAGAATCACTTCAACCCAGGAGGTGGAGGTTGCAGTGAGCCAAGACCACACAATTGTACTGTTGCATAGGCAACAGACCGAGACTCCATCTCAAAACAACAACAACAACAAAAGAGAACAGGGGAGGGTCTGGGGTTCAGAGCTTTGGGGAACAGACCTCAGTAGCACCAACACTCCAGGATCAATGCTACAAAGGCACGGGTTACAACTAAACTGGAGAACATGGCCAAGGAAGGGATCTGAGGTGTCCTGGCTCAGCCCTGTTTAGGGCTGAGCCAAGTAGGGCTGAGCCAGAACACTTCCTCCTTTTTTTGTGAACAGTCTACCTACATTTCAGCTACAGGACTGGCTTCACCCAGTCCGTAGGGAGGGAGGAGAGGGCTGGTCTGTGACTTCAGTGCTGAGGTTTGGATCAAGGCAGAGGGAAACTTCTTCTTCCCAGACCCTTTGCAAGGAAGAATGGCATATTACTTGTCACCGACAGGGGTTATGATTACTAAATGGAGTCAGTATAAATGCTTTCCAATAAAGCACGTCCAGCGCTCGGGTTTTTAGTTTTGCACGTCCATGAATTGTCTGCCACCTCCCTCTTCTGAATGGTTGGAAACTGGGCATCTGTTCCTTTAAATAGGAAACATTTCTTGTTCGAGTGAGTCATCTCTGTTCTGCTTTAGGAGTAAAATTTACCCTGCAGTTCATTCTGCTGTGAAGTTTTCTCTTTCTCTCGGAGACCAGGTTCTGCCCTTCTGCTGAAGGGAAGTGTTTTCACAGGTTCTCCTTTGAACCTCCTGCTGAATTTGCTAGTCTCCTGCTGAATTTGCTAGTCAACTCAACAGGAAGTGAGGCGGTGGAGGGAGGCAGAAGAGCCAGGGTGGTTATTGAAAGTAAAAGAAACTTCTTCCTGGGAGCCTGTCCCACCCCCTTCCCCACCGAGCACGTGGAGTTAGGCAGGTTAGGGGACTCAGAGACTGTGATGGTGCCAGGAAAGGGTGGAGCGGGTAAGTGCCTGTTGCCGAGGTGGCCTCTTTAACAGGAAACCACATATTTTTGTTTCTTGATTTGCTCTAGAAACAGGGCTGTGGGGGCGGGGAAGAAGCTTGGATCTGCCCTGCTGAGGACACCTCTGGGTGCTGCCTGGTCCAGGTCTCTTGTGGGGTTTCTCTCTGAGCCGTTGCCTCTGATCTTGCTACTTTTTCACTCTGAGCAGTCTCCGTTTCCTCTGCTGCCTTTTTGTCCTCCCAGCTTCCCTACTACCTCGTATACAGATACACGGTCTCCCTCCTGTGAACCCGTTTGGAGAGTCCAGAAAACTTTATCAATCCACTTTTTTTTCTTTTTCATTTGGCTCTGGGGCCGAGAGTTAAGTTCTTTATTCTGTTGAATCACGACGCCCTGAGGTGCACAGCCCGCTTACCCCACTTCCGCTTACCCCTCTTCCGTGTCTTAAGGGTTTCCTTTTATCTCTCCACCCCCACCCCTGCCCTCCTGCCCTCTCTCTTGCTCCCCAAAGATAATTCTCTAATGTTTTGATGTGGATTCGTGAATGTATCTGTATCTTTGCAAAATGTATTTTTCTTTTGTATATGTACACTGTTTTTTAACTATGCGATCTCAGGCAAGTAAGTAATTCCTCTGTGCCTCTGTTATCTCATTTTAAATGGGATTAATAATGCCTCGAGAGGTGACTGTGAGGCTTGAAGGAGATAATACGCATACATCACTTACTACATGAGTTAGCAATTATTATTGCATATTAATACTATTGGCATTTTATTTTACTCATTCTGTTTCTATTTCTTTTCTGTTTATTTATTTTTTGAGACAAGATCTTGCTTTGTCACCCAAGGCTGGAGTGTAGTGGTGCAATCACGGCTCACTGCAGCCTCGACATCCTGGGATCAAGCAATGTTCCCATCTCAACCTTCAGATTAACTGGGACCACAGTCGTGTGCTACCACACCTGGCTAATTCAAAAATTTTTCTTCATAGAGATGGTGTCTCACTATGTTGCCCAGGCTGGTCTCAAACTCCTACGCTCAAGGGATCCTCCCGCCTTGGCCTCCCAAAGTGCTAGGATTAGAGGCATGAGCCACTGTGGCCATCCAGGCATTGATGTTATCAGGCCACCTTGACCTGGCCCTCTCTGGTGAAGAGTCCTTTTCAGATACTTCATTCAATCTTCTCAGCTATGAGTCCCTGCCCTCTGAAAGCTTATATTCTATTTGGAGAAAGACAAAAGGCGGTTTCAAAGAAGAGAGGTGCTTGATTTTCTTTTCCTACTTTTAACATCAGAAAACATTTCATCTAACTCTCAGTATGAAGGCAATCTTTTGTTTACTGATCTATCCCTAGAGCCCAACATGGTGAGGGCCCCAGGATTTGCCTCTTTGATAAGATGGCAAACCCATCTTGCAGCTGACTTCGTGGTTTCCCCAGCTACACTCATATACAAGGATCACCTTTGGTAAGACAGGTTTACCATCTTACCAAAGAGTTTTTGCATTTTAGAGGTTTTTCTTTTTAGATTTTTTTCATTTTAGAATTTTTTTTATTTCAGAGTTTTTTTCTTTTTAGAGGTTTTTCATTTTAGAGTTTTTTCTTTTTTAGAGTTTTTTTTTTTTTTTTTTTTTTTTTTTTTTTTTTTTTTTTGTACTAGAGGTTCTTTGATTTTTTTTCTGCTACTTCCTAGAACCTTTTTTATTCAGAAAGTTTTTTTCTTTTAGAGGTTTACTTCCTTAGAGTTTTTTTAGAGTTTGTTAATTTTTTTTTTTTTTTTTTTTTTTTTTTTTTTTTTTTTTTTTAGGCTGCTGAGAGTGGAATCTGGTGACTTGGGGCCACAGAGATGCTCCTTGGCTAAACCAGGGGCTTTAGCTCTGAAAGTTCTCAGTCACCCTGAGAACCAAGATGAGGGCTCTGCAGTGTCCAATCTCAAGACTTCTCCGAGGTGCTCCATCAAGATTCATTGAATGAAAAAATTAAAGTCTTAATGATGAACCCAGAAAAATCTTTAAATCCTAAATATGAAATGAAAGTGTTCTTGGTTACAATCCAGTCGAACGTCCTCGTTTTGGAATGTGGAAATGAGGCCCCAAAGGTAAAATGGCCCATCCAAAGTCATAGCCAGGGGCCAGTGCTCAGGTGGCCAGATATCCCGCCCCACCCTGCAGGCAGTCTCCTGGACCATCAGGCCTTTTTCCTCCAGCTTTAGAAGCTTTAGAAGGTGCTCTGTTCACTCAGGGGCAAGTGGTAAGCGTTTCCTCTCCTCTAGTGTTTGTGACTTAGAGGAGTTTCGAAACAGGAAGTACAGCTGGCTGTGCCCTTCGTCCTTCATTAGACATTTGCTCTTGTCTTAGATGCTCAGATGGCAGCGGAGAGGCCTGTGACGAAGGTGTTACCATCGTGAGAGTAAGGTAAGGATTTGCCCCTTTGTTAAGGTCAGAGGGGCCTTTTGGGAGGAAGGCCTTTGATTCTGGAGTTTTCTAGGCTGCTGAGAGTGAGGTCGGGTGGCCCTGGGGCTATGGAGGTGATCCTCGTATGTGAGTGTGGATGGGAAACCATGAAGTTAGTGAAAGAGGTAGCAGGTCCCTCTGAGAGCCTTGCCGAGGGCCGTGCAGTTTCCAGATCTCGAGGCCAGTCTGGCTTAGACTGATTAAGTGCTAGGAGCTTCTGAAATGCTGCCAGTTTACCTACTTGTATAAAGGCTTCATCCTGATCCCAGCCAAATTTGTGAAACAAAGAGTAGAAGCCAAAATTTAAATCTCAACTAACTTTGCTGCTACAGCTATCCTCCCACCAACACACATACCCACCAACATACACATTTGCCAACATAAACACACACACACACATACACATACACACACCCATGTGGTCCTACTAATTCAATTATTTATGTTTTAAACAAATTAAAAAAGGCTGGGCGCAGTGGCTCACACCTGTAATCCCAGCACTTTGGGAGGCCGAGGCGGGTGAATCACTCGAGGTCGGGAGTTTGAGACTAGCCTGACCAACATGGAGAAACCCTGTCTCTACTAAAAATACAAAATTAGCTGGATATGGTGGCGCATGCCTGTAATCCCAGCTACTCGGGAGGCTGAGGCAGGAGAATCGCTTGAACCTGGGAGACAGAAGTTGTGGTGAGCCGAGATTGTGCCATTGCACTCCAGCCTGGGCAACAAGAGCAAAACTCCGTCTCAAAAAAAAAAAGAAAGAAAAGAAAGAGAAATTAAAAAGATACAGAACAGTTCAAAAAACAATATAATGGGAAGACTAGATGGACAAAATCAGAGACCTGTACTTGTGGGGTTAAGCATTTACGGGTGAAGTTGCAAGTTTCATTCTGTTTGACAATGATGGGATTATATGTTTTGTTGAGGTTCGGACACCTTTGCTGGGTTGTTAGAACGCCGTGACTGCAGCGCCCTGTTATGGACACCATGTGTGTGCAGAATGGATGTCTGTCAGGTTCGGGGGCAGCCCACAGTGTGAGGCAGGCAGCCTGGACCCGAAGGAGTGGCAATACTACCTCCTGGTTAGGGGTATGGGCCTGAGAGCGAGTGGCTTTCAGGTTCTCTCAAGCTTCGGATGAGATGCAGGTTTCTGTTTCCGACGGTGAATGCATGTTTTGCTTTTTCCCCACCTGTGGGGTAGTTATCACTGCAAGAGCTAGGACGCTGCTAGAATATTACTGGAGTGATTGTGATGAGATGGAATGTATTTGCAGTTTAATTGTGGCATGTAATACATGGTAGAATGGGACTCTGGAATGAGATGCTGGGGCCTAGATTCTAGCACTTCCTTTGTGAGGCTCTGACCCCCTCTCTCCTATAGTGGATTTGTTAAGAACTTCTGTTTTTGTGGTTTTGTTATTATATATATTTTTGAAATGTTATTCTCCAAAAATGTTATGATTTTATGTTTTTCTTCATGAGATTCTTTCACCACCTTCCAGCTGCAAGTAGAATGGCGTCTAAATCTTTGCAATCTGTCATTGAAGCCCTTGAGTGAGATACTTAAATCTGACTGTGGCTCTCTCTCTTACTAGCTTATTTCCAAGCCGTGATTTTTCCCAACAGAAAAGTGGGGACAATAATGATAGTTTCTTCAGAGGCTTTTAGTGAAATGAGGTTAAAAAAATTTTTATGTTTATATGGATATATAGGTTATAAACATTTATATATCATTTATTTATATGATTATTATAAACACATATTTATATTTAAACATTTTAGGGCATAAATATATAAAATAATTATACTTATGTAATACAAATAGACTTATAATATACATTTACTATTTAGCAGAGCTTATATAAAATATATGTATTACATGGCAAAATATTCAAATTTACATATGTTATAAACACATGTGGAAAAAAATTGGTCACACAAAATGTGACCAAAGAATTACTTCCAAATGGCAAGTTTTAAAGTAATTTTTATTTTCTTTTTATACTTCTTTGTACTTTCTCTATGAAGCAAGTGTTACTTTTACTATTTTTAGGAACCAAAAAGACAAGTACATTATTTTAAAAATACTAGCTTAACAAAGCTGCTAGCCCGTAAGCTAGTGCAGAACATCTAGGTCCCATAAAACAAGAACCGCCATGTGATATCTCTCCCCGTGCGGTGCTGGATGGCCCGTTGTTAATGGTGTCGTAAATCCTTTGCCAGTGACTGTTTTCTAGGTACCGTGACTAGAGGGATGTGTAACTTAAGCAAAAAGCAAAAAACAGAAAAGGCTGACTATCATCCGACAGTGTATCCTGGAATACCTGGGCCAGAGAAGAAGCCATGTTAGCACTTTCCCTTCTAAATGTCAGTTATGATTGGATGGGGAAACCACTTAAAAAGCTTTGCCATGTTGTTGGAGAGGTAATGAAATGAGTGAGATGAGGTGGCTATGGAGGACGGAGCTATGCGCCAATCTTATTATATCCAAATTCATGTCATCTCAGCCTTGGATTGTATTGATTTTTATTATATACTGTCAGAAAATGCTATTGAATATGTAACAAGAGACTCAAAAAGGTTTATTCCTTTTGACCCAATAATACTACTTTTAGGAAATTATTCTAAGAAAATAATTAAAGGTATACTTAAAGATTTGCATTTCAAGGTCATCCTAAATGTAATCAGAAACTGGCTATGTAAATTATAACCCATCTTGAAGATTAAATGCTTTACAGATATTAAAACCCATGATGTAGAAGAAAAACTAAAGACATCGAGAAAGTACTTACAATACGAGATGTACCTATTAGTGGAAAAATCCACTTATACTACAGAAATATGATGTGTTCAAATATAAGGAAAAATGTGTATGCATAAAATATTTGGTAGGAAAGAGTAAAATATTATTGGGCATTTATCTTTGGATGGTGGAATTATACGTAATTTTAATTTTCCTTTTTATCTTTTCTGTATTTTCTAAAATGACTACACTAAGTGTTTTTATCCTCAGAAAAAAATAATTGAGGGATGGGGGAAAGGAAGTCCTGCTTTCATTTGATTCTTTGACTGGTTTTATTCTGTAAGATGAGATTTCAATAGAGGTTAGAATACATTAAAAATTTTAAAGACAGTTGAACTAAGGGCACTAAACAGGGTTAGATCTAGTTTAGATCTTTTCCAGCATATGAATAAGAATGGATCTTTAAAGATTTTAACTAGGTATATTTTTAGAATAAGTAATACATGTACATGGTAAAAATTCAAACAGTACAAACTGTGCAGCAAGGTATGGGAAGTAAAGCAACTCTCACTGTCACCTCCACCCATCGGCCTTCCCACACCGCACGGCCACATCTGTGTGTAATTCTGCTTTTCTTTAACATTACTGAAGGAACTTCCTGTGTGTTTTTTGTTAGAGCTCTCCTGTGAATACACAAAATATGTACTGATCAATACATTATGTAGATCACACATGCTTAACCACGTTGATCTTCCTATTCTCTCTAGTAGCCAAATAGAGTTCCCTGGAATATGATTAATAGCTTACCTAAATCTTCTAATACTGATAAACAGTTGTTTCTGCTCTTTTGTTGTTCAAGGAATGCCACCATGAATCGCCTTGTATATGGTTTTGAGTATACTTATGTTTAAATGAATGTAGGAAAAACTCTTGGAAGTTAAATTGTGGGCCAAAGTTGATGTGAATTTTATATTTTGACGGAGATAGCTAAATTACCCACCTGTTTTTTTGGTTTGTTTTGGTTTTGGTTTTGCTTTTTTTTTTTAAGAGTTGGGGTCTTGCTACCTGGGGTCTTGCCCAGGGTAGACCTGAACTCCTGGGCCACGTTGGTTTGTTTTACTGCATTCCCAGAGCCTAGAGCAACAATTGACATGTACCAGCAGTATCTATTGGAAATTCTGACACCTTGAGGAAGTGCCAGCGTCACAGCCGGGCTTGATCTAAGCTCTTAACCACGGCACTGCTGCCCTCCCCAACAGTGACTGTCGCCCTTGTTAGGGGAGCCATGCCTCAGTCTTGTTCCTATGAAGAATGGAGCACAAACACCACTCCGAGGGTGTTTTTTTTTGTTTTTTGTTTTTAACTATGGACAGGGGCCATCAGAGCAGGGAAGGTGGTGGAGCCTGGGGCTCAAGGGAAAACCCCTGATGTCAGGTCGCTGGCATGATGATTATCTGGCTGAAACACGGCCCTCTCCTTTAGAAACATTGTGTGAAAATACCACATAACCTGACTTAGAGACTGTGTAGGTTGAAAGGGCTGTCAGGGATGACTGGTTCAGTTTCCAGTCTTGAGTTCCTGACCAGCTGTAGGCACTGGTCCTTGGGCCCTTCGGGGACCTCGCTTCCCCATGTCCTCCTTCCACTGTTGTTTCAATCAGACCCCATCACTCCCGCCCTCCAGCACTGAAATGCCTCCTCCTAATAAGTCCCAGTAGGTCCCCTCCCCTGCCTCCAAGTCTTCCAGTCTATCCTTTGCACTTTAAGTGTTAATCCCAACTGGGTGACATCATTCCCATTTTCACAGTCCTTTCTTAGTTCCTCATCACCTCCAGGACAAAGCCTAAACCCCTTGCCCCATGGTAATGAGGCCCCTTTGTGACATGGTACCTGGTGAGAGCTTCATCCCTTTGTCCCATCACTCTCCATCCCAGACCCTTTGTAGTTACTTTATTGAGCTCCTAGTGCCTGCCTGAATGGACTTGAAAGTTCTTACCTCCATCTTTTACATTAATTGTTTCCTGTAAGAATTGTGCTTTCTCACATTCTCCCCAGAATCCCTTCCCCACAGGAAGCCCTTCTCCCAGGCTGAGTTAAGGCTTCTTCCTCTACATTCCTACCACACTCTGGTCACAACCCTCTAACCATTGGCTTGTTTTTGTTTTTTTTTTTTTTTTTTTTTTTTTTTTTTTTTTTTTTTTTTGTGAGACGGAGTCTTGCTCTGTCACCCAGGCTGGAGTGCAGTGGTGCGATCTCAGCTCACTGCAATCTCCACCTCCCGGGTTCAAGTGATTCTCCTAATCCCGAGTAGCTGGGATTATAGGCATGCGCCACCATGCCTGGCTAATTTTGTATTTTTTTAGTAGAGATAAGTTTTCTCCATGTTGGTCAGGCTGGTCTCTAACTCCCAATCTCAGATGATCCGCACACCTTGGCCTCCCAAAGTGTTGGGATTACAGGCATGAGCCACCGCGCCCAGCCCATTGGCTTGTTTGTATATCTACCTTCCTAAACAGTAAGAGGGAACTTGTCTGCTGTTCTTTTTCTCTCTCCTGTGCTCACAGCACAATGACCAGTATCTCGTAGAGGCAGTAGCCTTTGATGAACAAGCCAGCAAATGGTACTTTTCTTCCTTATCTGAACATACCATTATATTTTGACTTAGATTATATTCTGCTGCCTTTTGAAGAGATGGACTTCAACAGAAATCTTTTTGATATTGGGGAACAACTGGACAGTGAAGAGCTGGCCTCCCTCAAGTTCCTGAGCCTGGACTGCATCCCACAAAGGAAGCAAGAACCCATCAAGGATGCCTTGATGTTATTCCAGAGACTCCAGGAAAAGAGAATGTTGGAGGAAAACAATCTGTCCTTCCTGAAGGAGCTGCTCTTCCGAATTAATAGACTGGATTTGCTCACTACTTACCTAAACACTAGAAAGGAGGAGATGGAAAGGGAACTTCAGGCACCAGGCAGGGCTCAGATTTCTGCCTACAGGTGGGTAGAAACTCCCAGCGTGGGGACTGGGAGGTGTGGGTTGAATGGACAACTTTTGTGGGCAGGGCTGATTGGGGCTTGTCTTTGTGGTACCCTGCCTATGGAGCCTGGGAGCCCAGCTATGCTACAATTCTAAGCTTCTACAGACAGACAGTGGTGCCTTGGGTGGTCCTGCTAAAGGCTGTAAAACTTAGCTTCTCCCCACCCTAGAGAGAGTGGGTAAACAAAGGCGTGAGAGAGAAACCACATTCAGTATCACTTGGGAGGCTTTGGGAAGATGTCCCACTGGAGCTAGATTAAGAAATTTAGGGGCCTTATGTATAATTCTGTAAAAATGCTAAGACCATAAAATACAAATTTATTTTTCAAAGTGAAACATTACTTAGAGGTATGCTGAAGTTTTAATAGAGTTTTTCTAAATGTTCTCATTTTCTTCCTCTCTTATCTTGGTGCCTCTTGATATCCAGATTGTGTGCTTACTTTGTCCATACATTGAGTAAAGCATCAGGCTTCCCACCTTGAAATCCCCCTCCCATCTGCTTGCGGATGGCTATGGAAATTTTCAGTGAGATTTAAGGGTTTTTTGCCACACTTAAAGACTCGAATGACAAAGTTCATTACAGAGCTGTAAGCCGCTGGCCTGGCACATACAGCTAGGCAGTCCCCACCGAGGCTGTCCAGCTCCTGTGAGCCTGGCTGTATGACAATTCTAAGCTTTATAGGATGACAGTGGCACCTTGGGTCATCTTGCCAAAGGCTGTACAACTCAGCTTCTCCCCACCCTGGGGAGAGTGGGTAACCAAAGGTGTGAGAGAGAAACCCCATTCAGTTACAACTTCATGATGCTGTGACAAGACTTTAAAAACAGAAACACATTGTCACCTACTCTCTTTCAACATCTCCTATTATTGGACACTACTTAAAGCAATTTTAGCTTTGCTTTCAGGAAGCTTCTACTGAAGCCTTCGCTCTGGGCCCATTTCATTGTCTCTGTTTGCTTGTCGATAACTATGGCATGTGAGATGGAAAGGGTTCACAGCCAGGGCTGAGAGCTGCTGCCCTCTGATGGCCCAGCCCATGAACGCCCTGGTCTTTCTATTCTCAGAGACTGTTTTTTGTTTTGAGGCTTGACTACTTTTTGTTTTGTTTTGTTTTTGAGATGGAGTCTCGCTCCGTCACCCAGGCTAGAGTGCAGTGGCATGATCTCGGCTCACTGCAACCTCTACCTCCAGGGTTCAAGTGATTCTCCTGCCTCAGCCTCCTGAGTAGCTGGGATTACAAGTGCGTGCCACCATGCCCAGCTAATTTTTGTATTTTTAGTAGAGACGGAGTTTCACCATGTTGGCCAGGCTGGTCTCAAACTCCTGACTTTAAGTCATCCACCCGTCTTGACCTCTCAAAGTGCTGGAATTATAGGCGTGAGCCACCGCGCCCAGCCAAGGCTTGACTATTTTGATTTTAAATGACAAAAGAGATATTCTGGGCCAGGCAAGGTGGCTCATGCCTGTAATCCCAGCACTTTGGGAGGCCGAGGCGGGCAGATCACCTGAGGTCAGGAGTTCAAGACTAGCCTGGCCAACATAGTGAAACCCTATTTCTACTAAAAATACAAAAATTAGTTGGGTATGGTGGCTCACGCCTGTAATCCCAGCTACTTGGGGGGCTGAGGCAGGAGAATCACTTGAATCCACGAGGCAGAGGTTGCAGTGAGCTGAGATCGTGCCATTGCACTCCAGCCTGGGCAACAAGAGTGAAACTCTGTCTCAAAAAAAACAAAACGAAGCAAAAAAACAAAAAAAAGAGATATTCTGGGTGTGTAAGTTTCCTAGGGCTGCGGTAGCAAAGTAACACAAACTAGCAGGTTTAAAACAGTTTTTAAAATTTATTCTCATAGTTCTGGAGGCCTAAGTCAGAAATCAAGATGTCAACAGGGTTGGTTCCTTTTAAGAGGCTCCGAGGAAGAATCTGTTTCATGCCTTTCCCTGCTTCTGGTGGGTGCAGGAATCCTCGGTGCTCCCTGTTTGTACATGTAGCACAGCAGTCTCTGCCTATGTTCCCTTCTCTGTGTCTAAATCTCCTTCTTATAAGGAGACAGTCACTGGATTAGGAATTAGGGCCCACGCTAATCCAATGTGGCCTTATCTTTTTGTACGTGTGTGTGAGACAGTGTCTCACTACATCACCCAAGCTGGAGTGCAGTGGCACGATCTTGGCTCACTGCAACCTCTGTCTCCTGGGTTCAAGCAATCTTCCCACCTCAGCCTCCCAAGTAGCTGAGACTACAGGCACCCGCCACCATGTCTGGCTGATTTTTGTATTTTTTGTAGAGATGGGGTTTCGAAATGATGCCCAGGCTGGTCTTGAACTCCTGGGCTTATGCGATCTGCCCACCACGGCCTCCCAAGTTCTGGGATTACAGGCGTGAGCAACTGCGCCTGGCCAGCGTGACCTCATCTTAATGAAATTTTATCTGCAAATGTCCTGTGTCCAAATAAGGTCACATTCTCATATTCCAGTTATACATGAATTTTGGGGAAGAAGGGAGAACACTATTCAACCAGTACACTAGATAGCTCTGGTTTACTAGAATTGTGAAGTCTTTATAAGGAACTTATTCATTAAGGCACCAGTTAGTCCTAAAAACCCACAGCCCCAGAACTAGGAAAGCCAAGGGGGTCTCATCTTGTGCCCAACATCTTGGTCCTTTGAAGGTTCCACTTCTGCCGCATGAGCTGGGCTGAAGCAAACACCCAGTGTCAGACACAGTCCGTACCTTTCTGGTGGAGGATTGATCATCTACTAATAAGGCAGGATCTGTCTGTTAAAATCTTTCATGTATTGGCTTAGAGATAAAAGGGTCAGTGCAATCCTGACTTACTGCTTGTTCATTATCATTGAATACTAGCCAGGAGCTAATAAATATGCTAGGGTGGCCACTTACCATTATAAGAAAACACTAGACATTTTATTTTCCAGTTATAATTGCTACCTATAAAATAAGTATCTTATAAACTATTCAGGTTCATTACTAAACAATGATGGTACAAGAAAGCCTGTAGGCTTCAATAATGAGGAAAGCAAAAGGGTAAATACCTTGTAATAAAGGCGAAAGAGTCAGAATAGCTTTTTGGATTAGATCCAATTTTGGCCAAACCAAAAGCTTTAGATAAACCCTTTTAGGGTAGAGAGTCCACGAGAAGGAGGATAAGGCAGATGGTAATACTGAGTAATTTCTGTTTCTATGCCATTTTTATCTTCAGAATTTTAATTTTCTAATTAAATTTTCAAGTCAACATGTTTTGTATTAAAATTATTTTCCTTTACACCATAGTGTTGAAAGGTTTGCTGACTTCTAAAACATTCCTGTGTTCACCTATTTGGCAAGCATATTCCAAGAGCCTAAATGGGCCAACCTAAATGTGCCTATCACATAAATGTGATAGAAATAGATTAGGAAATAGTAACACCTATCACTCATTGAACACTTAGTGTGTTGCCAAAGATTGGTTTAAGTGCTTCACATAAACTTATTTGTGTAACCCTCGACACCTTCCTATGATGTGGTTACGGATAATTATCTTCAGTCTATGGGCGAGGAAAAAATGTGTAACATGTCTGAAGTTAATGCTGCTCAAAGATGGTGGAATCAAGGCTCCAACACCAATAGCCGGGGTCCTCTGCATGCAAACGTTGCACCTCATAACCCTCTGGGTTTATGAAAATAAAAAGGGTACAGACCTGGCCATTAGGGGACTTGAACAGTTTCTAAACAGACAATTATTTTTTGTTTTTATTTTTAGTGTGATGGCATGATCACAGCTCACTGCAGCCTCAACCTCCTGGGCTCAAATGATCCTCTCACCTCAGCCTCTGGAGTAGCTGGGACCACAGGTGCATGCCACCACACCCGGCTAATTTTTAAATATTTTTGGTAGAGAGGGGGTCTTGCTATGTTGCCCAGGCTGGTCTCAAACCCCTGGGCTCAAGTGATCCTCCTCCTGCCTTGGCCTCCTAATGCGCTGGAATTAGAGGCGTGAACCACTGCACCAGGCCAACAGACAATTATGTGTGTTATCCTTTTGGGGTTCCTAAGTCGTAGTGGAGTGAATGCAGCTTTTGCGGATGCCCAGGCAATGCTTGAGCTGATTGTTCGTGGATGGGCGTCTGCAGATAGACAAGGGATGGGGTGTAGGCGCACGGCGGAAAGGGGTGAGGGCAGGGCAGCTGGCTGTGTTTGGGGCTTCAGGTCCTTTAGTGTTTGCAGTCTGGTCTGCGATGGCGATGTATTCAGAGACTTTGTATTCCAGAACCAAATGCTTGGCCTTCTTACTGAAGGTAATGACTGGGAGAATACTGACCGGTTTTGATTAGGGAAGTCATGAGCCACTGTGCATTTTGAAAAGCATAATTTCCAAAAGGCAAAGCTTTTTGCAATTGCAACAAAATCTTGATTTTGTAGGAAAAAAAAAAAAAAGCAAGATTTACTTAACTGAAATAAACTGAAAGAAAAGTTGATAGAACTTTAAATTGTTAAGGGTGGGAAAGTCGGGGAAGAGCCAGCAGACTGCTGTGTCACAACCTCTTTCCGAGGACTCAACTCATAAACCGCGCCATTAACTGGCTTCACGTTGAAGGGAGGCCTTTGGAATCAAGCCCACTGTGACTCCATATATCAAATGGGAAATTATTTGGGAAAAGGTTTCTAAAGTGTCTCCATTTCCCACCACAGGGTCATGCTCTATCAGATTTCAGAAGAGGTGGGCAGATCAGAATTGAGGTCTTTTAAGTTTCTTCTGCAAGAGGAGATCTCCAAATGCAAACTGGATGATGACATGGTAAGACCTGGTATCTTACTTAGATTTAGTCCTGAGACTTGGTTAGCCAGGGGGCATTTCTGAGACCAAAGAGAGGGGGTATTTTGGTAAAAGCAACCTGGATTCTCACTTTTTGACTAGAAGAAGAAAGTTGTCAGCACGAGTGTTACAGACGTGATTCCTCTATACTGAAGGGCTGCTCATGTTAATTACCGGGAGCAAGGCGGAGTCAGGGGCCGGGAGAAGGAGGCTGGTTGGGCTGATGCAGCCCAGCCTGAGACCCAGCAGAGCTGGGAAAGACAGCGGTGAGTCTGAGGCATTTCCTCCACTTCCGCAGTCCCCGAAACGACCTGGGACCTGGAACTCTGTGTGTATATTGTGTTTGTGTGTGGTGTGTCTGTGTTGTGTGTCTCTGTGTGTTGTGTGTCTCTGTGTGTGTTTTGCGTGTCTGTGTTGTATGTGCATCTCTGTGTCTGTGTGTGCCTTTCTCTGTGTATAGTGTGTATCTGTATTTGTGTGTGATATGTGTATCTCTGTGTGTCTCTGTATAAGGGGTATGTGTGTCTGTGTATCTCTGTGTCTGTGTGTGTGTTCTCTGTGTGGTATGTGTCTGTGTGTGTGTTGTGTAGTGTATATTGTATTTATGCCCCTATGTGTGTATCACTGAGTATAGTCTGTGTGTGTTGTGTGTATCTGTGTATGTGTGTATGTGCATGTGGTGTCTGTGTGTATGTATGTGTCTGTGTGTCTGTATGTACTCAGGTCTGGAGAGGCAATGCTGGGGGTGATGCCATCCCCAGGGCATCACCATGGTGACCGGGCTGCTCAGGCTGTTTTACAGTCCTCAAGTAATGCATTTGCAGGAGCTTTGAGCACAGGGCCTGGGGACTGGGTGACATCTGACATGGCTTCTCCTTTATCCTCTCATTTCTGTCTTTTTGAGCCAGAAAACATGGAATTGCTTCCCTAGTAGCCTGCTGGCTGTGAGAGACCAGCAGAAGCTGTCAGAAACTTGGGAAGCAAGGGCAGGTCCTTGGTTGGAGAAAGTGGAAGTAAAAAAAAAAATCTAATCTAAAAACCGGTAGGGCTCAATCCAGATTCCCAACTTTATTTCTCCTCCTCTTAGAACCTGCTGGATATTTTCATAGAGATGGAGAAGAGGGTCATCCTGGGAGAAGGCAAGTTGGACATCCTGAAAAGAGTCTGTGCCCAAGTCAACAAGAGCCTGCTGAAGATAATCAATGACTACGAAGAATTCAGCAGAGGTAGAAACAACCTGACAGCTGGGAATTGGCAAAACCTACTCTAAAATTGAAACTGACAAATCTCTCCATGTCACAGTTGTTTCTAATCAAATATTGTTGGGGGTTTCCTCTTTTAATTCAGAGAGAACAAGGAGTCTTGAAGGAAGACCTGATGAAGGTTCAAATGGTAATGCTTGGAGATACATTTTCAAGATTTAGTTAATTTACTCTCTGGTACCTGCGTGTGTCCTCCCCACAGCCTTCTACCACATGCACGTCTTAATGTGCCTGCTCTACTTTTTTTTTTTTTTTTTTTGAGACAGTGTCTTACTTTGTTTCCCAGGCTGGAGAGCAGTGGCACCATCTCAGCTCACTGCAACCTCCATCTCCTGGGTTCAAGCAATTCTCCTGCCTCAGCCTCCCGAGAAGCTGGAATTACAGGCGCCCACCACCACGCCCAGCTAATTTTGTGTTTTTATTAGAGATGGGGTTTCATCATGTTGGCCTGGCTGGTCTCAAACTCCTGACCTCAGGTGATCCGCCCGCCTTGGCCTCCCAAAGTGCTGGGATTATAGGCGTGAGCTGCCGCGCTCGGCCGTACCTGCTCTCCTAAGACCTGCAGCCCAGGCTGGCAAGTTTGAAACAGGTGCAGAGTGAGTCAGTCATAAGTAATTTAACATCATTTTTTCTATGTGACTTTTTTTTTCTCCTTGACGTGCTGCTCATGTTATGCACTGAGTAGCTGGATTTAAATTATGTTTCATAATTTTCTTGGTTAAGTCACTTCCTCTGTCAACACCTTCTACACTAAACAACTCCTTTCAACTTCCTTTCACTTTTTCTACTTGGGTAAGCGAGGCTGAACCAAGAGAGAGAACTCTCAATGATCTCATCCGAAATTTTGATTAATCAAATATTCTTTTATTGTTGTTGTTTTTTTGAGACAGTGTCTCACTTTGTCCCCCAGGCTGGAATGCAGTGGTGCAATCTTGGCTCACCACAGCCTCTACCTCCTGGACTCAAACGATCCTCTTGCCTCAACCCCCTGAGTAGCTTGGACCACAGCACAAGCCACCATGCCTGGCTAATTTTTGTATTCTTGTAGAGATGGGGTTTCGCTATGTTGCCCAGGCTGATCTTAAACTCCTGAGCTCAAGCCATCCGCCTACCTGGGCCTCCCAAAGTGCTGGGACTATAGGCAATTAATAAAGTATTCTTTCTGATTAGAAAAATTATATATACTCATCGAAGATGATTTTAAATTCAGAGAAATTTTTATAAGTCCAAGAACACCATCACTCCATTAATATTGATTATATTTTTATTGTATTTTTACCTTGGCTCTTTGTGGTGTGTGTGTATAAAATACATTTTGGATCATTCAAATGTATTTTAAAGATTAATGTCCACGCAGGCTGTCCTTCCCTTTCCTCCCTGCCTGCTGAGCCCCAGGCCTTAAGAATACTTTGAGGAGTAAAGTACTAAATCATTAATTCATCCTGAGCTAGTGGCTTTATTAATGAGTATCTCACAAATACCACAAAAATCCAACATGGCCATGTGGAGCAATATAATTTATGGCATTTCTTGATATGCTTTTCTCTTTGGCAAGGAGACAGTTTGATCTTGTGTTTCCAGAAGCATGTTAATTGCCCTGCTTGCAGAATCTCTCTGGGTTGAAAAGAGATTATATTTATGGCCGTCCGTGAATTTTCATTTCTTTTCATTTATTCATCTGAGACAGAGTCTCACTCTGTCGCCCAGGTTGGAGTGCAGTGGTGATGTGATCTCAGCTCACTGCAACCTCCACCTCCCGAGTTCAAGTGATTCTCCTGCCTCAGCCTCCTGAGCAGCTGGGACTACAGGTGCCTACCACCATGCCCGGCTAATTTTTTTGTATTTTTAGTAGAGACAGGGTTTCACCATTTTGGCCAGGCTGGTCTCAGACTCCTGATCTCAAGTTATCTTCCCATCTTGGCCTCCCAAAGTGTTGAGATTACAGGCGTGAGCCACTGTGCCCAGCTTGAATTTTCATCTTAAAAAAGACCTTATGTTGTCCTATGTGCTACATATTTCATTACCAGTGTACCTTTCCTGCCATGTCTCATTCTGTATTTGTCTCTTTGTTATTTGCAGGGGAGGAGTTGTGTGGGCTAATGACAATCTCGGACTCTCCAAGAGAACAGGATAGTGAATCACAGGTAGATGGAAACCTCCAAATCCTTTTTCTTTTTACATTACAGATTCTAGTTACTTAATTTGTTAGCTTTTTTTTTTTTTTTAGCTGCCAGATAAACCGATAAGAGGCAGAAACTTACTGAAAATTTTGAGAACTGTAGAAAAAATTCACAAAAAAATAAGTTAAAAATATGACTTAATTTTTAAAACGTGACTCCTTCAGTTTTCTATGCATTCAAATTTTATTTTAAGACCCAAGATGAAGATACTGGAATAGTTGGAGGGTGGAGGGGGTAAGAAGCCTCCTACCAAATCTTCTAGCAGCCGTGCCAGCCTGGATGGGGGAGTGGTTTGGAGAGTCTAGCAGGAATGGAAAAAGCAAAGCCTTTTCGTTTGACTTAACATTTCAAAAATGCTTCTCCTTTGTGATTAGGTGTAAGCAGCAAACTCTCATAACCTAGCCATCTTTGTGTTTTCATCTCAGTGAACCAGCAGAAACATGTACTTTTTAGGCATCATAACTTCTCTTTATGTAACCAACCATCCACCAAATACATCCCGACTTATTAGCCCATTTGCTCGTCCTCATGGTAAGAAGAAGAGGAAATCCTGAATATCTGAAGTAGGCTTGGGAGAGCCTGGTGTGGGCTTCTGAGAAAATTACCAGACCTCTTTCATCTGAAAGTCAAGGATTAACCCAAGTAATGTGGTACTTTCTAAGCAATATAGCATGCTGCAAGCATTGTCCCCACTGAACAGCTAAAAACACTGTCTTAGTATCTTAGTAAATTTTAGTATCTTTTTTCTTTTTTAATGTTTTATTGAGACAGAGGTCTTGCTACGTTGCCAAGCCAGGTCTCGAACTCCTGGCCTCAAGCAGTTCTCCTGCCTTGGCCTCCCAAAGTCTGGGATTATAGGTGCTAGGCACCATGCCTGGTCAAATCTTAGTGTCTTAATATCTCAGTAAATACACTTAATATGCTTAATAAATACTTAGCACACTTAATAGTAAATAATACAAACAACACATTTGGTACAAACTTAATCAAATATTTAATATCTTAGAGTTAATATATTAAGATAACAGGTTACTTGCCCAAAGTCATAAGGTGAAGTAGAGGCAGGAACTGGGCTTCCTAGCCTGGAGCCCTTTTCTCTACCTCAAGGGGCTACGTGAACCTCCAACTAAATGCTGAGTATCTCAGCACTGAAACAGCCCTAGGAGAATGAATAGGACACAGGGCCATCCCTGGCAGGTACTGTCAGATACTACAGTTTGGATACCATAACCTACAGTGTAGCCAGGACCTGCCTGACCAGCCTGTCTCTTCCCAGCAGCCACCGTGGTCCTGAGAGCTGGGTTAAGCCATCACCTTTAAAATCCTGGGGCCATACTGTGCAATGCATGAATGGGAGACCCTCAGCTGTTAGCCACGAAGCACAGATGAGTTCAGTAGACAGCCAAGAGAATCACAAAGTTATGGCGTGGGGGCAACCAAAGACATTCATTCAGTAACTCTTGATTGAGCTCTCGTAAGTTAATACACCGTAGTCCCTGGCACAGATGTTATCGACCTCAAGGAGTTTTCTGTATAGTATGGGAAGCAGAAATGAGAACAAACAATAATACAATATGATGACAACAATATTAGCATATGTGCAAAGTGCTCAGGAGGCCCAGGTATTGGGAAACTGACTTTACAATGATGGGGCAGAAGTCTGAGGGGTCCTGTGTGAAGGAAATAGGTAGAAACTAGTTTTTCAAGGAAACGACCCCAAGTTGGGGTGGTGCAATGGAAAGCAAGTCCTCTTACTAGGGAGTTGTTTGTTTACATCTCTAGTGTTTGACCCACAGAGTCAGCTCCTGGGTTGGGTTTTTGTTTTCCAGACTTTGGACAAAGTTTACCAAATGAAAAGCAAACCTCGGGGATACTGTCTGATCATCAACAATTACGATTTTACGAAAGCACGGGAGAAAGTGCCCAAACTTCACAGCATTAGGGACAGGAATGGAACACACTTGGATGCAGGTACAGTAGAACCCAAAAGAGAAAAGTGAAATATTTCTTATGCCTATTTTTTTTTTTAAATCAAAAGGGAGACAACAAAAGCTATACCAAAAGGGTCATGTTTCAAGAAAATGGATTTAAACATATTTCCCTGTGGAGGTAAAGAACATTCTTATACATTTGTCAGTTTCCTGCTTTTTAAAAAATTAATCTTTTAAATAGAAGCAATGTATGTATAAATATGAAATATCAAATCTTACTAAAAGACACAATGAAAAGCAGTAATAAGCTTTGTTTTTAATTCTGCTAACTGCATAGTGCTTCTGTGGAATGCATTAAGCGATGAAATTGCCGTGGTATCAAAGTTCTTATAGAGGCTGCATTTTTACAGGTTGGGCTGTTAAGTGCAGCAGAAATTGTAAGTTCTTAACAGAAACATCATTTTCAAGTATTAAATATTAAACTGGTTAGCAGTTCTTTTACTCAGCCTATTTAAGCTAAGATCAAGAACCTACAAGTTAAATGAAAAAACAATTTGTAGTATGTGAATATAAAAAGTGACTACAACAAAAAATAAAAATCATCCATCACCATTGAGATATTAATAATTTTGATTTGATCAAAGAACTTTTGAAAATAGTGTTCATCAGGCATAATATCAATTATTGATTTGTTTTGCAAATGGAGGTAAGTTTAGAAAATTAATGTAGATTGATTATAATCATCAGGACTCTGTAATGGTCCCTAGTAACTTTTTTTTTTTTTTGAGACAGAGTCTCACTCTGTTGCCCAGGCTGGAGTGCAGTGGTGCTATCTCGGCTCACTGCAGCCTCCACTTCCCCAGTTCAAGTGATTCTCCTGCCTCAGCCTCCCAAGTAGCTGGGACTACAGGCACACACCACCACACCCGGCTAATTTTTGTATTTTTAGTAGAGATGGGGTTTTGCCATATTGGCCAGGCTGGTCTTGAACTCCTGACCTCAAGTGATCCTCCTGCCTCGGCCTCCCAGAGTGCTGGGATTACAGGTGTGAGCCACTACACCTGGCCCATGTTAACATTTGATTTGTTTATTTAAGCAAATCTAAACCTTTAAAAAGGCACAGGGATTAAGTCCATTGATGACATCATTCGTCATTATGTGCTTGGTGTTGAAAAAACCATTTCGAGCTCTTGATTTGTATTATTTTAAAATGAAAACATTTCTATTAAAATAACACTTGCTTCTATTTCTGGCAGTTCATTTTCTTATAACTGGCCCATGATTGACTAGTCTCTGGTAGGCATTCGAGTCTGTGTGTCCTGCTTTTTCTGTTCCTGTTCTTATGTTTTATGCTAAATGAGTAAAAGTAGGAGACCCCACTGCAGAAGTCATTTCTCCTGAGAGACTCCCTTCTGTCCTGCTTCAGTACCTTGACACTCGCTTTACAGTCATTTTTTAAATCAACATTCCACATTTCCAAAGGATCAGAACTTTTTCACATAACCAACACACTGTATTAGTCTTGCCAAAGTGCTTCCAAATCAACAATTGCATTTCAGTTTTTGTTTGTTCTATTCCTAATGCTAGACTGACTTTTTTTGTTTTAGACAGAGTCTCACTCTATTGCCCAGGCTGGAGTACAATACCATGATCTTGGCTCACCACAACCTCTGCCTCCCAGGTTCAAGCAATTCTCCTGCCTCAGTCTGCCAAGTAGCTGGGATTATAGGCATGTGCCGCCACACCCACACCCAGTTAATTGTATTCAGTAGAGATGGGTTTTACCATGTTGGTCAGGCTGATCTCGAACTCCTGACCTCAGGTGATCCACTCGCCTCGGCCTCCCAAAGTGCTGGGATTATAGGTGTGAGCCACTGCACCTGGCTGAGACTGTCTTTTGACTGATGGCTTATGTTTAGCTCTGATGTGCTGACAGGGACAAACTGCTGGAGAAGGAATAAAAAAGGAATAATCCAACAAGGATCAAGAGAACAGGAATGGAGACAATAGCTAATGAAAGATTTCCAACAATTTGGGGGAGTTGAAACAAAAGAGTAGAGGTAATCGACTTAACAGAGAAAGCTACAACCTAACTGATTACAGAGGGGAACACAGAAAAGAGGCAAGCCTATTTACCCCATAGAATCCTGGAAAAATTCAGCAATTGGAGGTACAAAGTGTAGGTGAGGCAATGAGCAGAAAACAGGAAAATTCTTTAAAGCCTATACAATCCTCAGATTCATACCTCCCTCTCATAGAGGCAGCAACTATTCTTATTCTACCATCATAAGGAACAGGAAGTTTGTTTTCTCATAAAATTGAACCAGAGAAACTCTACACTTGGGTGTACCAGGCCCAGCAAAGGAAGCAATGAAGCATTTTACTGAACACAGAGAGACTGGAGAAAACCTCCTGGTGGCGTGGAGTCAGATCTCTAAACCAACTTGGTTCCAAGAACACTGGCAGCAGATACAGATTTACCTCTGGAGCAGCTGAAAGCTCTAGCTAAAATGCATAGAGATAATGACATCTGGAGGTTTCCTAATGCAATGATCAGGTCTCCAACCATCATCTTGCTATGAAGTCCATCAGTGAACAAACCACATCCACAAACGCAGAGCTTTCAGTTGACTTTTTAATGGACTAATTAGTCAATTTATGAATGGACAACCAAAGGTCAGCAGGCGTTTGAAGAAAGCCTCTAATACAAAAGAGAGGCAGCTGGGTACGGTGGCTCACGCCTGTAATCCCAGCACTTTGGGAGGCCGAGGCAGGCAAATCGCCTGAGGTCAGGAGTTCAAGACCAGCCTGACCAACATGGTGAAACCCCATCTCTACTAAAAATACAAAAATTAGCCAGGTGTGATGGCAGGTGCCTGTAATCCCAGCTACTACAGAGGCTGAGGCAAAAGAAATGCTTGAACCTGGGAGGCGGAGGTTGCAGTGAGCCGAGATCGCACCACTGTACTCCAGCCTGGTGACAGAGCAAGACTCTGTCTCAAATAAATAAATAAATAAATAAATAAATAAATAAATAAGAGGCAGTGCAAACAACAAGAAAAACATGAAACAATATGATGAAACGAAGACAATGTTGAGAAAAAAGCAAGCTTTTTTTATTGCTTAATATTGGTATTTAATGTTCTTAGAGAGTTAAAGTTCCATAAAAGAACAAGATGTTATGAAACAGGGACAGAACAAGAAAGACTCCTTGAAAATTAAAGATATGAGCACCAAAATAAAAAATTCAATGAAGTAGAAGACAAAGTCTCAGAAAGTAGGATAAAAAGACAAAAATAGAAAATAGGAGCAAAAGATAAGAAAATTTGAAGCTGAATCAAGGATGTCCAATTTTTGACAATAAGAGTTCCAGAAAGAAAGGACAGAGAAAGAGGAAATGGAACTTTCCAAGAACGAAATGACACAATCTCCAGATTGAAAGGATATAATGGATTAAGAATCACTTCCAAACATATCATACCCTAGAAGCTTCTGGAAAGAGAAAAAAGTAAGCCAAATATGTAAAGTATCAGGAATGAAAAGGTCTTCTCTCTAGCAACACTGAAAGCTAAGATTGTGAAGAAAGGCGTTCGGAATTCTGAGGAAAAATGCTTTTGGAAATAGAACTCTATGAAGTAAAGACTCATACAAGGGCTCAAAAAATGTACTCCTCATGGTTATGCTCCAGCAAAGGAAACTAGTAAGAAAGAGGAAGTCATCAATAGAGGAAACAGAGAATCTACTATGGCAGAGACAGAGAGATGTCCCAGGAGAAGATAAATTCATCTGGCCTACAGAACAGCCAGTTGGTATTACAGCAGAAGGATGCAGTGCTCTGGATGGAAAGTTTTCCAGGAAGAAATAAAAATGAGTCAGACAAGTAGCCTGAAAATGTTGAAAGATTTTGGCCAGATCCATTAGAGCCCTTGGAGAAAAAATAGTGAAAGAACATTATGTTTACATAGTCTTAATAATAGAAATATTACTATGGGCTGGAGGTGGTGGCTCATGCCTACAATCCCAGCACTTTGGGAGGCCATGGTGGGTGGGTCACTTGAGGCTAGGAGTTCGTGACCAGCCTGGCCAACACGGTGAAACCCTGTCTCTACTAAAAATAAAAAAATCAGCTGGGTATGGTGGTGCGTGCCTGTAGTCCCACCTACTCAGGAGGCTGAGGCAGGAGAATTGCTTGAACCTGGGAGGCAGAAGTTGCAGTGAGCTGAGATTGTGTCACTGCACTCTAGCCTGGGTGACAGAGTGAGATCTTTTCTAAAAAAAAAAAAATTAAAAAAATAAAAATATTACTATGGATTCAACTAAAATTCTAAATAATTGTGTAAGAGCACCAAATGCTTATTCTCCATAATAAGAACTCAATGCGAAAGTCTAAAATTTATAAATGAGTAATTAGCAGTGTACCCAAATTCATTACAAAATGGAGGTTAATGTGAAAAAAGAGTGGTTAAAAACTGAAAGTGGTTGCCTTCATGGAATGTGACTAGGTAATAGGGAGGGATAGAGAGGGGATAACCTATTGTAAAAGGTCTTTTAGTTCTATTTTATTAATTCATGTATTTTATTTTGCTAAACATAAATAATTTTGAGGTGGTTTAGGATAAAATAAGTTGGATCTTCTATTAAAAAATTGTTTTGTTTTTTCTGATTATGTAAATAACATAGTCATTTTAAAAATTGGTTCAGTAGTAAGCCTAAATGATAACTTACTCATCTTGTAAACTAGTTTAGTAGAGAAAACAGACCAACAGTAACTCTCTGCTTTCTCATTTGCCCCAGGGTTTGAGAATGTTTTTAGCTGGTGGCAATAAATATTCGAAGCCTGCAGAATCCAGCTACAAACATAGAGGGTTTTGCTCTTGAATTTCTGGTTCAAATCCTTTATTTATTTATTTATTTATTTATTTATTTATTTTACTCTAAGTTCTAGGGTACATGTGCTCAACGAGCAGGTTTGTTACATATGTATATATGTGCCATGTTGGTGTGCTGCACCCATTAACTCGTCATTTACATTAGGTATATCTCCTAATGCTATCCCTCCCTCCTCCCCCACCCTACAACAGGCCCTGGTGTGCGATGTTCCCCTTCCTGTGTCCAAGTGTTCTCATTGTTCAATTCCCACCTATGAGTGAGAACATGCAGTGTTTGGTTTTCTGTCCTTGTGATAGTTTGCTGAGAATGATGGTTTCCAGCTTCATCCATGTCCCTACAAAGGACATGAACTCATCCTTTTTTATGGCTGCATAGTATTCCATGGTGTATATGTGCCACATTTTCTTAATCCAGTCTATCATTGATGGACATTTCTTATCTATCAATGTTATGCCCACTGTGCTCTCCAGCTCTGGTCTGTGAATTACTGTGGTATAATGTGACTGTTCAAATTTCACTTTTCAGAGGCTTTGACCGCGACCTTTGAAGAGCTTCATTTTGAGATCCAGCACCACAATGACTGCACAGTAGAGAAAATCTATAAGATTTTGAAAACCTACCAACTCATGGACCACAGTAACAAGGATTGCTTCATCTGCTGTATCCTCTCCCATGGAGACAAGGGCATCATCTATGGCACTGATGGACAGGAAGCCCCCATCTATGAGCTGACATCTCAGTTCACTGGTTTGAAGTGCCCTTCCCTTGCTGGAAAACCCAAAGTGTTTTTTATTCAGGCTTGTCAGGGGGATAACTACCAGAAAGGTATACCCGTTGAGACTGATTCAGAGGAGCAACCCTATTTGGAAATGGATTTATCATCACCTCAAACGAGATATATCCCAGATGAGGCTGACTTTCTGCTGGGGATGGCCACTGTGAATAATTGTGTTTCCTACCGAAACCCTGCAGAGGGAACCTGGTACATCCAGTCACTTTGCCAGAGCCTGAGAGAACGATGTCCTCGGTAAGTTTTGCCTACTCAGCCCACCTCACTGTTACACTACCTTCCCCTCCTACTCCATCACCACTACTATCTACTCACATTCAGAGACTATTAGAAAGTGATATGTGGTTTAGATGACATCAACAGGTCATAGAACTGTGCAAGGGGAATGCACATTCATCTCTAGATGTCTAGCTGTGGATCACATAGCTGCACTTCCCAGGTCAGTTACAAAGTGGGAGAGTGGCAAGTGTTAACATCCTTAGTTTATAGATGGAAAAGCTGAGATGTTTTATTCCTTTATTCAGCACCTCAAAGGACAATCAGGGTGTCACAAAGCAGGAAAGACTGGAAAAGTCATATAGTCCAGCTGTCTGTCTTTAGGCCAAAACATGAGTGAGCCAATTCAACTAGTTTTGGAAATCTTCCAAAGAAGGCAGTAACCCAATTCAATGTTTAACATCCTCCAACTCTGTCAAAAGTTCTATAAGAGCAAACCATCCTTAAAACCTCTTGGTGCATTATGGGAAATAAACAGCAGGTTCCTTTTAGCCCTGTATTTCATGTTTTGAGTATATGAAGAGTGAGAATTTCCCACAACTTAGATCATGAATCTAACTTAGATTTTGTAACTTAGATCATGAATCCTGCAAGGTTTCCAGGGCTAGCTCCAAGGTAGAAGAAGAGGTTGCCTAATGATCCTGGTGAGAAGAAGGTAGGAGTAGCTGCAGGAGACATTGTACTTTCACTTGCCTTAAGTTTAATTGCATCAAAGATGAATCCACAGATGCAATGTCAATTTGAGGCAGAGTATTGGGGGGCATTGAAGCAACTGTGGGAGCCAAGTAACATGGAGAAGAGTGAGATACGCACAGGTCAGGAGAGAAAGAAATCAACTCTAATACTGACACTGAGGTTTCTGACGGTCAAAAGAGTTCCTGAATAAACCAAAAGTAAGTTATTAAGCTCTGAGACAATGCATTTACCAGGAAATCTGGGGTAGGTCTTGGTTTAGCAACTTATTGTTTCAAATGACTGATATTTTGAGAGAAAGAACTACAGAACTATCTCTGAGCACAGCAGAGGAGACAGTTCATCAGTTGCTTTCCCCCACAGATAGTCACAATGTTATGTGATGTCTTTCAGAGGCGATGATATTCTCACCATCCTGACTGAAGTGAACTATGAAGTAAGCAACAAGGATGACAAGAAAAACATGGGGAAACAGATGCCACAGCCAACTTTCACACTAAGAAAAAAACTAGTCTTCCCTTCTGATTGATAGTGCTATTTAGATATATAACACTATGTTTATTTACTAATTTTCTAATTAGTTAATTTATTAACTGTTTTGCACTTTTTTGTAAGAACTAAAGTTAATAGGGTATTAACAACAATAACACTGTCTCCTTTATCTTATGCCTAGGGCTTTGGGAATGTTTTTACCTGGTGGCAATAAATACCAGATGCCTGCAAAATCCAGCTACGAATATAGCTGGATTTTGATTCAAATTATTATCAACATTAAGCCCACTGTTAATATTCTATTAACTTTAATTCTTTCCTGAAGTCAAATTCGACACTACCACATCAAAAAATATTAGAATATAGCCACCTATGGTGGCTCATGTCTATAATCCCAGCACTTTGGGAGGTTGAGGTGGGGGGATTACTTGAACCCAAGAGGTCAAGGCTGCAGTGAGCCATATTCACACCACTGCACTCCAGCCTGGGTGACAGAGTGAGACCCTGTCTCAGCCTGGGCGACAGAGTGAGACCCCGTCTCAAAAAAAAATTTTTTTTTTTTTTGAGACAGAGTCTCGCTCTGTCGCCCAGGCTGGAGTGCAGTGGCGCGATTTCAGCTCACTGCAAGCTCCGCCTCCTGGGTTCACGCCATTCTCCTGCCTCAGCCTCCCGAGTTCACGCCATTCTCCTGCCTCAGCCTCCCGAGTAGCTGGGACTACAAGCACCCACCACTACGCCTGGCTAATTTTTTGTATTTTTCAGTAGAGACGGGGTTTCACCATGTTAGCCAGGATGGTCTCGATCTCCTGACCTCATGATCTGCCCACCTTGGCCTCCCAAAGTGCTGGGATTACAGATGTGAGCCACCATACCCAGCCAAAATTTTTTTTTTTAATAAAACAAAATTTCATTGAAATCTTTTAAAAATTCAAATTATTTTACAAGTTTTACATAATTTATCCCCAAACTTGCTTTTTGCCTTCTTTTACTTTCATGATGTATATATGCTTGGCTAACTATATTTGCTTTTTGCTAACAATGCTGTGGAGTCTTTTTATGCATTTGCATTTGCTCTTTCATCTCTGCTTGGATTATTTTAAATCATTAGGAATTAAGTTATCTTTAAAATTTAAGTATCTTTTTTCAAAAATACTTTTTAATAGAATAAAGTATAACTTGATCTTATTGCTCCTTGGAGATTTTTTTGTGTTTGATTTTGGTTTCTGCCAATGACATCTCACAGGTGGAAAACATCTGGACCACAGACATGTTCTACTTGAGTCTCCCATGATTGGCACACACAGTTGTATTTTTAAAATTTGTTGTCAACGTTTAAAAGTTAGGAGATATCACATAAAAACCAGGATACCTTCTTTGAAAAAATCATAATATCTGACAATATTGACCTCATGCTTTTGCATGGCAAAGATCTGAGAAGCACCTTCTTCAGATGGGACAGTGCTCTGCAGGTCATTTTTCTCCACCTGTTGTGCCCCAGCCCTGCCCAAGCCCCTCTACTGAGGCTGCTGTCAGTTGTCACTTACCACTGTGCTCATGCAATTGTTTTCCTTGTGTCTAGCCCACTTCACTTATTTATGTTGCCTGCCCTGTGGGTGTCTGAATTCTGGTGATGGTCCAGAGAAGGTGGTAAGAATCATCAGAAACCCTTCCTAAGTCATAGGTCAGGGAACATGATTGAGAGGTAGGGAAGTAGGGGGCATGGGTATGAGAGAAAAAGGTTTTAGAATAAAATCAACACATCATCTTTTTTTGCTACCTAAATGCCCCCAGGGGACAAAGGTACACCCCCCAAATATAGTAAAAGTTCAATAGGAAGAAGGCTTTCAAATCTATTTCTTTCCTATGAAATACATAAAGGTGGAAGAAAAATAGTACAAAACTCAGAGAAAGCTCAGCTCCCAGTATGGAGAGCATCATTTTTCAATGAAGCGTCCGTGATAAGCTGTGAAATTCAGATGAGAATTCAAACATTTTCAGCCACTCAGAAGAGAGCAAAAATAGAGTCAGAGCAACCCAAGAACTAAACTCATTATACACATGTTCTTAAGAAAACCCTCCCAGGAGTTTCCTGGGCCTACAGAAATGGTGTGCCGACCATCTTCAACAATGGAGAGCAACTTTATGTTTATGATTGTCTTTTCTTGCTACCATCTTCCACAGTGTCAGAATCATCCTTAGAAACAGTAATAGAGGCCAATCTCCCAGAATATTCTTCATACATTTCTTCATTCTTAGAAATTACCTTTTGCCTGTAAAAAGAAAGGAAAGATGTATCAATGTCAACTCAAAAGCTACAAAAGGTATAGGATATTTGGGGTGCAGGGAGAGCAATGTGCCTTCGTTCCTTCACCACAGCAGTCTCTCACTCATTACTTCCAGTGGTTTTGAATTTAGTGAGGTATGGTGTTCAGGTGACTGAAGTCCTGTATGAGGAATTTTCTACTAAATCAATGCAATAAATAACTTTCCTCTACTAAAGTATTGACCAAAATGTATTTTAATGATTTAAGATGCAGCTTCAGGTAACAGTACACCTGATCCAAAGCTGATTTCCATAGGAACCAGAAGCAGCTGCATGTAATGGTAAGACCATCAGACTCCCAGGGGAGATGGATTTAAAAACCACCCTCAGTCATAGAACTGAGCAAACTCAGAAACTGGGAGATAAATTTCCTGTGTTGTTTTGCACAGAAACAAGGACACAGGTGAATGGGAGAAGCATAGACACATCTCCACTCCACCTCAAGTGAACTATCTGGCTTTGTGTCGCTGGCCTACAGTGACACACCTCCCTCCTGAAAATGCCTGTGCCTTGACATAACTAGGGAGCACTTGGTCTATCTTCCTAACCCATTCCTCACTCAAAGTCCTTCCCACTCCTAAAGAGAACTCAGCCATGTCTTTTTCAGCAGCAGCCGCACTTCAGATGAATGTTCTCTTCCATCAGGATCTGTATGGTGTACTTATACTTTTCTTCAGTTTCAGCACACTTGGTTTGAAGTATTTTCTCCAGATTTCCCACTATAGCTTTCTGAAAGACAAAGATTTTAAAGCCATCTTCCCCAACTCAGAGCCATCCAGGGCAGAGCTATATGGCAGAGCTGGACAGAGACCTAGGTTCTTCCCCCAACCCCCATCCCCACTCTAGCAGGGACTCACCTCTTTTTGGAGTTCCATCTGGGTATAGTAGAGGTTTGCGTTAAGTGACTCTAGGATGAGGGCTTGTGCATGCAATTCTTCCTCCATGACCTGCATAAGAAGAATTTGTTGCAGGACATCATGCCGATGTCTGTTCATTTAGTTTCTTCTCCAGGGCACCTGGACTGTAATGCAAGGGAGCAACTTGAGCTACTTTTGCATCACTCATGGCCACTCACACCCTGTCAGTCCTACCTCCTCTTTGTCTCACTCATGTATATCCTTCTCTTCAGCCTCACCAGAGCTCACATGAATGGTTACAATGGCAATCAGTTATTCATTCACTAAGCAAGTCTTTGTTAAATACCTACTACTAATTGCAACTATACGACACTCTGGAAAAGGCAAAACTATAGAGACAGAAAAAAGATTAGTGGTTTCTAGGGATTTGGAGGGCAAGGGAGGGATGAATAGGTGGGGGAGAGGGCACTTTTAGAGCAGTGAAACTATTCTGTATGACACTATAATGGTGGCTACATGACATGATATATTAGGCAAAACCCACAGAATGTACAACACAAAGAGCCCTAATGTAAACTATGGACTTTAGTTAATAAGAATGCATCCACAGAGCTCATCAACTGCAACTAATGTGGCACCCCAATGTAAGATACTACTAATAAAGGAAACTAGTGGTGGGGTGGGGTGGGGTAGTATATGGGAACTCTCTGTATTTTCTGCTCAATTTTTCTGTAAACCTAAAACTGCTCTAAAAAGCAGCTTCTAGAAACAAACACACATACAAACTTCCACTAAAGAATGAATAGAAGCCTGTGCAAAGGTCCTTAGAATGCAAAATGCTCATTGTGTTTGAGGACCCAAAGGAACACCAATATGGGTGGAATAGAGACAGTAAGGATAGAGGGCCATGATGAGGAAATACAGGGGAGCCTGGTGGCACCTGAGAGGACAAGGTAACCTAAGAACAATGGGGACCCATTGAAGGGTGTTAAGCAGAGAAGTGAATGCACGTATCTCACTTGTTTATATTATGCTCCAGGGGATGAACTGGAGGGGCAAGAGGGAAAGCAATGGAACTAAGGAGGAGAATATTACAGTCATGCAGCTGAGAAATAACGGACTAGGGTAAGGTGACAACAGAGTTGGAGGGATGTGGATGAATGTGGAATATGTTATAGAGGATTGGCTGAGGCTGCTGGGTTGAATTTGGGAGAGTGAAAGGAAAGAAGAAATCAAGGATGACTTCAGGTCTAGGCTTAGAACAGCTGAGGGAGTTGACAATTTGGGGGCTAAATCTCTGGTGGATAATTGAGAGTGTGGAGCTGGACATGTTAATTTTGAGGTACCTGTATGTCACCTATGCTGAAATGTCAAATGGGCAGTTGGATGTACAAGCCTGGAGCTCAGGAGAGAGGCAAAGCTGGAGGTATCAACCCAAGTTATCAGCACAGAGATGGCTTTTACATCTGTGTGAACAGATGAGCTCTCCAAAGGAAAAATGGGCGATAAAGAAGAGAAGTGGGGCCTGGGAACCAGCCTCAAAATACTCCAGGACTTAGAAATTAGGTGGGAGAACAATGGGGTACCATCGAAGGGTTTTAAGCAGAGTTCTAGTTCTAGCAAAGAAGATTGAGAAGGTGTGACCAATGAGGTGAAGGAAATGCCAGAAGCCCATGAAAGTTAAGAGAGGTGAATGTTGCAAGGAGAGAGTGATCAATTGAACCTGATACTGCTCATGTCAAGTGAGGTGAAGCATTCTTTGGATTTGGAAACTCAGAAGTTACTTGTGATTTTAACAAGAGCAGTTCTATGGCTGGGATGGGAGCAGAAGTCAGGTTGAGGTGTAAATGGGAGATGACCCTTCTAACAGGTTCTGCCTCCTGTCATTTTGATTCTTCAGATTCTCCTTCACATTGCTGCCACAGTTGTTTCCCCAAATAATACTCTTCTCCTCAAAAATCTCCAGTGGCATCCCATTTAGAGAAAAGCAAGTGTTGGGGCAGGGAGCCCTTAAATAGGATGGCATCTGAGATGGTGGCATTTGAATAAAGACCAGGAGGAGGAAAGGAAGGAAGTCATGTGGATATCTGGGAAAGAGATTTTCAGGAAGAGAGACTATCAAAGCCCCCAAGGTAGGAGCATCCTGGCCTGTTAAGGAAACAGCAAGGAGGCAAGTGCCTCTGGGGTGGAGTGATGGAGGGAAGAAATAGAAAGAGATGTGGTTAGAGGAAGGAACCACCAGCAAGGAGCAGGTAGAACAATCCCCAGAGCCAACACAGGGCTGGGAATAGTTCATGGTCCCACCAGGCAGAGTAGAAAATCCTTCTCATACAGAGGGTGTGGTGTCGAGTACTCAGAGGGTATTACCTCAACAGTGGGGGAAAATTAGTTCCACACTAAACACTGCTTTAGTTCTGCCCAACAAAGCTTAAAAAGCAAGGCTCGAAAGGATCAAACTGTTTCCAAGCAACTTAACTACATCCCAGGGCAAAGCTCAAGATTATCTAAAGGAATATAAAAATATTCAGCACCCAACAAGGTAAACACTACAATGGCTGACATCCAAGCCAAACTTAACCAGGCATGCAAACAAAGAAGTATGACCATAAATGAGGAGAAAAATCAATGAAGAGAAACAGACCCAGACATGACACAAATGACAGAATTAGTAGACAAGCTCATTAAAATAGTTATTATAATACACTGGGTATATCTTCCTCCAAAACCCATTTCTTGAACTTGTAGGATGCCACAGTCTGTTTACCTTTCAATGATGCTGAAGCCCTGCCTGGGCTCTAAGATAGAATTCATTTATAATGCCTTTATAATGACTAATATTTTCTCAAACATGTCCATTCTGGATCCAAGTCAAATTCTCAGTGATGGAAGAATCACACATCACCTTGTGGATTTGAACAGCTCCTCTTCGGTTGTCTCCCACAGACTGCCATAAATTTGTCCCAGAATAGAGTCTCTGAGGAAGTCATCGTGTGTGAGGTACACTCAGAGTTTAAGGAGGGGCTTGGTGACAGAGTTCCAAAGGAGACAGTTTTATACTTTTCAGAGCTCAAAGGGAAGAACTTGGTGTTTTATAACTGAAAGATCATTTGTGGTTTGAACCTTGCTAGAAATGAAAGTCATTCAACATTGAAGATCACATAGTATATTGCTGATCTATTTGTTCAAATCAGACTTTAAAAAGGCACATTGGCTTTATTTTACAGATAATTTCAAAAATTCTTTTTAACTTACTGAATCCAGTAAACTCAGCTTTAGGTCTTCCATTTCTTATTGGTTTTGGAGAAATTACCATCGATTCCATTATACTGACAGCCTGTTATTTTACTGGTGTATTTGTAATATACCAAGTCCACAGGAAAGGAAGAAAAATCTTACCTCTTTGGTTTTTCTCAGCTCTTCTAATTGCAAGGTATCACTTTGATGTTGTTTCAAGAGCTCCTAAAAGCAATTTTATTAGGAAAAGGTTAGCACTGTGGTTCTGGCACATCTTCTAGGGAGTTAAGAAAGCCAGGCTAGGATTCAGGAATATAATATTCACCAAAGCTTAGACACTACTATAATGAAGCACACATTATAAACTAATGACATGACATGTTGAAGTTAATGAAAATCTTACTTAAGTTCAACCTTATCACACTGACAAATACTAAAAGAAATTATATTTTCATCAAAAGCTTTTGTTAAGTCAGTGTATAGATTCGATACTCTTAAGAATTAATCTCTCCACAGATTGATCTTTATATTCAATGAAATCCCAGTCAAAATATCAGCAAGTTTCCTTGATAAGCTAATTCTAAATTGACAAGCTAGTTCTAACATTTATGTAAAAATACAAAGAATGCAGAAAGGCAAAATAATCTTGAAAAACAATAGCAAAACTAGATAACCTTTGCTACCCGATTTCAAACTTCAGTCGTCAAGACAATGTGTTGTTAACCTAAGTACAGAAAAATACTCAAACAGAATGGAGAGTCCTATACCCCCAAATACAACAAAGAGAATATTAGTCTGATCTCACATTTCTATGAAGAACTACCTGAGAGACTGGGTAATTTATAAAGAAAAGAAGTTTAAGGCAGAGGTTCCAAGATGGTCAAACAGGAACAGCTCCAGTCCACAGCTCCCAGCATGAGTGACGCAGAAGACGGGGGATTTCTGCATTTCTAACTGAGGTACCGGGTTCATCTCACTGGGGCTTGTTGGACAGTGGGTGCAGGACAGTGGGTGCAGCCCATGGACTGGGAGCCAAAGCAGGGCCAGGCATCACCTCACCTGGGAAGTGCAAGGGGTCAGGGAATTCCCTTTCCTAGTCAAGGGAAGCTGTGACAGACAGCACCTGGAAAATAGGGTCACTCCTACCCTAACACTGCACTTTTCCAATGGTCTTAGCAAACAGCACACCAGGAGATTATATCCCGCACCTGGCTGGGAGGGTTCCATGCCCACGGAGCCTTGCTCACTGCTAGCACAGCAGTCTGAGATTGAGCTGCAAGGCGGCAGCGAGGCTGGGGGAGGGGTGCCCACCATTGCTGAGGCTTGTGTAGGTAAACAAAGCAGTTGGTAAGTTTGAACTAGGTGGAGCCCACCAGAGCTCAAGGAGGCCTGCCTGACTCTGTAGACTCTACCTCTGGGGGCAGGGCATAGCTGAACAAAAGGCAGTAGAAACTTCTGCACACTTAAATGTCCCTGTCTGACAGCTTTGAAGAGAGTAGTGGTTCTCCCAGCATGGAATTTTGAGATCTGAGAACAGACAGACTGCCTCCTCAAGTGGGTCCCTGATCCCCGAGTAGCCTAACTGGGAGGCACCTCGCTGACTGAGACCTCATGCAGCCGGCTGCCCCTCTGAGATGAAGCTTCTAGAGGAACCGTCAGGCAGCAACATTTGCCATTCTGCAATATCTGTGGTTCTACAGCCTCTGCTGGTGATACCCAAGCAAACAGGGTCTGGAGTGGACCTCCAGCAAACTCCAACAGACCTTCAGCAGAGGGTCCTGACTGTTAGAAGGAAAACTAACAAACAGAAAGGACATCCACACCAAAACCTTATCTGTACATCACCATCATCAAAGACCAAAGGTAGATAAAACCACAAAGATGGGGATAAACCAGAGAAGAAAAGCTGAAAATTCTAAAAATCAGAGCACCTCTTCTCCTCCAAAGGAATGCAGCTCCTTGCCAGCAACAGAACAAAGCTGGAAGGAGAATGACTTTGACGAGTTGAGAGAAGAAGGTTTCAGATGATCAGTAATAACAAACTTCTATGAGCTAAAGGAGGATGTTCAAACCCATCGCAACAAGCTAAAAACCTTGAAAAAAGATTAAAAGAATAGCTAACCAGTATAAACAGCGGAGAGAAGACCTTAAATGATCTGATGGAGATGAAAACCATGGCATGAGAACTACATGATGCATGCACAAGCTTCAGTAGCTGATTTGATCAACTGGAAGAAAGGGTATCAGTGATTGAAGATCAAATGAATGAAAGGAAGTGAGAAGAGAAGTTTAGAGAGAAAAGAGTAAAAAGAAATGAACAAAGCCTCCAAGAAATATGGGACTAGGTGAAAAGACTAAATCTGCGTCTGATTGGTGTATCTGAAAGTGATGGGGAGAATGGAACCAAGATGGAAAACACTCTTCAGGATATTATCCAGGAGAACTTTCCCAACCGAGAAAGGCAGGCCAACATTCAAATTCAGGAAATACAGAGTACACCACAAAGATACTCCTCGAGAAGAGCAGCTCTAAGACACAAAATTGTCAGATTCACCAAAGTTGAAATGAAGGAAAAAATGTTAAGGGTAGCCAGAGAGAAAGGTCGGGTTACCCACAAAGGGAAGCCCATCAGACTAATGGCAGATCTCTCAGCAGAAACCCTGCAAGTCAGAAAAGAGTGGGTGCCAATATTCAACATTCTTAAAGAAAAGAATTTTCAACCCAGAATTTCATATCCAGCCAAACTAAGCTTCATAAGTAAAGGAGAAATAAAATCCTTTATAGACAAGCAAATGCTGAGAGATTTTGTCACCACCAAGCCTGCCTTACAAAAGCTCCTGAAGGAAGCACTAAACATGGAAAGGAACAACTGGTACCAGCCACTGCAAAAACATGCCAAATTGTAAAGACCATTGATGCTAGGAAGAAACTGCATCAACTAACGAGCAAAATAAGCAGCTAACATCATAACGACAGGATCAAATTCATACATAACAATATTAGCCTTAAATATAAATGGGTTAAATCCTCCAATTAAAAGACACAGACTGGCAAATTGGATAAAGAGTCAAGACCCATCAGTGTGCTGCTTTCAAGAGACCCATCTCATGTGCAGAGACACACATAGGCTCAAAATAAAGGGATGGAGGAAGATCTACCAAGCAAACGGAAAACATAAAAAGGCAGGGGTTGCAATCCTAGTCTCTCATAAAACAGACTTTAAATCAACAAAGATCAAAAGAGACAAAGAAGGCCATTACTTAATAGTAAAGGGATCAATTCAACAAGAAGAGCTAACTATCCTAAATATATATACACCCAATACAGGAGCACCCAGATTCATAAAGCAAGTCCTTAGAGACCTACAAAGAGACTTAGACTCCCACACAATAATAATGGGAGATTTTAACACCCCACTGTCAACATTAGACAAATCAATGAGACAGAAAGTTAACAGGATATCCAGGAATTGAACTCAGCTCTGCACCAAGCATACCTAATAGACATCTACAGAACTCTCCACCCCAAATCAACAGAATATTTATTCTTCTCAGCACCACATTGCACTTATTCCAAAATTGACCACATAGTTGGAAGTAAAGCACTCCTCAGCAAATGTAAAATAACACAAATTATAACAAACTGTCTCTCAGACCACAGTGCAATCAAATTAGAGCTCAGGATTAAGAAACTCACTCAAAACCGCTCAACTACATGGAAACTGAACAACCTGCTCCTGAGTGACTACTGGGTACATAACGAAATGAAGGCAGAAATAAAGATGTTCTTTGAAACCAATGAGAACAAAGACACAACATACCAGAATCTCTGGGACACATTTAAAGCAGTGTGTAGAGGGAAATTTACAGCACTAAATGCCCACAAGAGAAAGCAGGAAAGATCTAAAATTGACACTCTAACATCACAATGAAAAGATCTAGAGAAGCAAGAGCAAACACATTCAAAAGCTAGCAGAAGGCAAGAAATAACTAAGATCAGAGCAGAATGGAAGGAGAGAGAGACACACACACACCAAAAAAATTCAAAAAATCAATGAATCCAGGAGCTGGTTTTTTGAAAAGATCAACAAAATTGATAGACTGCTAGCAAGACTACCAGCAAGAGAAGAGAGAAGAATCAAATAGAGGCAATTAAAAATGCTAAAGAGGATATCATCACCGATCCAACAGAGATACAAACTACCATCAGAGAATACTATAAACACCTCTATGCAAATAAACTAGAAAATCTAGAAGAAACTGATAAATTCCTGGACACATACACCCTTCCAAGACTAAACAAAGAAGAAGTTGAATCCCTGAATAGACCAATAACAGGCCCTGAAATTGAGGAAATAATTAAGAGCCTGCCACCCAAAAAAAGTCCAGGACCAGACAGATTCACAGCCGAATTCTACCAGAGGTACAAAGAGGAACTGGTACCATTCCTTCTGAAACTATTCCAATCAATAGAAAAAGAGGGAATCCTCCCTAACTCATTTTATGGGGCCAATACATTCCTGATACCAAACCCTGGCAGAGACACAAGAAAAAAAAGAGGATTTTAGACCAATATCCCTGATGAACATCGATGCAAAAATCCTCAATAAAATACTGGCAAACTGAATCCAGCAGCACATCAAAAAGCTTAACCACCATGATCAAGTGGGCTTCATCCCTGGGATGCAAGGCTGGTTCAACATACACAAATCAATAAATGTAATCCATCATATAAACAGAATCAAAGACAAAAACCACATGATTATCTCAATAGATGCAGAAAAGGTCTTTGACAAAATTCAACAGCACTTCATGCTAAAAACTCTCAATAAATTAGGTATTGATGGGATGTATCTCAAAATAATAGGGGCTATTTATAACAAACCCACAGCCAATATCATACTGAATGGGCAAAAACTGGAAGCATTCCCTTTGAAAACTGGCACAAGATAGGGATGCCCTCTCTCACCATTCCTATTCAACAAAGTGTTGGAAGTTCTGGCCAGGGCAATCAGGCAGGAGAAAGAAATAAAGGGTATTCAATTAGGAGAAGATGAAGTCAAACTGTCCCTGTATGCAGATGACATGATTGTATATTTAGACAACTCCATCATCTCAGCCCCAAATCTCCTTAAGCTGATAAGCAACTTCAGCAAAGTCTCAGCATACAAAATCAATGTGCAAAAATCATAAGCATTCCTATACACCAATAACAGACAAACAGAGAGCCAAATCATGAGTGAACTCCCATTCACAACTGCTTCAAAGAAAGTAAAATACCTAGGAATCCAACTTACAAGGGATGTGAAGGACATCTTCACGGAGAACTACAAACCACTGCTCAATGAAATAAAAGCGGACAGAAACAAATGGAAGAATATTTCATGCTCATGGATAAGAAGAATCAATATTGTGAAAATGGCCACACTGCCCAAGGTAATTTATGGATTCAGTGTCATCCCCATCAAGCTACCAATGACTTTCTTCACAGAATGGCAAAAAACTACTGTAAAGTTCATATGGAATCAAAAAAGAGCCCACATTGCCAAGACAATCTTAAGCCAAAAGAACAAAGCTGGAGGCATCTCACTACCTGACATCAAACTATACTACAAGGCTACAGTAACCAAAACAGCATGGTACTGGTACCAAAACAGAGATATAGACCAATGGAACAGAATAGAGCCCTCAGAAATAATACCACACATCTACGACCATCTGATCTTTGACAAACCTGACAAAAACAAGAAATGGGGAAAGGATTCCCTATTTAATAAATGGTGCTGGGAAAAGTGGCTAGTCATATGTAGAAAACTGAAACTGGATCCCTTCCTCACACCTTATACAAAAATTAATTCAAGATGGATTAAAGACTTAAATGTCAGACCTAAAACCATAAAAACCCTAGAAGAAAACCTAGGCAATACCATTCAGGCCACAGGCATGGGCAAGGACTTCATGTTTAAAACACCAAAAGCAATGGCAACAAAAGCCAAAATTGAAAAATGGGATCTAATTAAACTAAAGACCTTCTGCAAAGCACAAGAAACTACCATCAGAGTGAACAGGCAACCTACAGAATTGGAGAAAATTGTTGCAATCTACCCATCTGACAAAGAGCTAATATCCAGAATCTATAAAGAACTTAAACAAATTTACAAGAAAAAAATCAAACAACCCCATCAAAAAGTGGGCGACGGATATGAACAGACACTTCTCAAAAGAAGACATTTATGCAGCCAACAGGCACATGGCACATGAAAAAATGCTCATCAACACTGGCCATCAGAGAAATACAAACCAAAACCACAATGAGAGACTATCTCATACCAGTTAGAATGGTGATCATTAAAAAGTCAGGAAACAACAGGTGCTGGAGAGGATGTGGAGAAATAGGAACACTTTTACACTGTTGGTGGGACTGTAAACTAGTTCAACCATTGTGGAAGACAGTGTGGCCATTCCTCAAGAATCTAGAGCTAGAAATACCATTTGACTCAGCCATCCCATTACTGGGTATATACCCAAAGGATTACAAATCATGCTGCTATAAAGACATATGCACAGGTATGTTTGTTGTGGCACTATTCACAATAGCAAAACTTGGAACCAACCCAAATGTCCATCAATGATAGACTGGATTAAGAAAATGTGGCACATATACACCATGGAATACTATGCAGCCATAAGAAAGGATGAGTTTATGTCCTTCGTAGACACATGGATGAAGCTGGAAACCATCATTCTGAACAAACTATCGGAAGGACAGAAAACCAAACACCACATGTTCTCACTCATAGGTGGGAACTGAACAATGAGAACACTTGGATACAGGGTGGGGAACACCATACACCAGGGCCAGTCGTGTGGTGGGGGGAGGGGGAAGGATAGCATTAGGAGATATACCTAATGTAAATGAGGAGTTAATGGGTGCAGCACACCAACATGGCAGATGTATACATATGTAACAAACCTGCACGTTGTGCACATGTACCCTAGAACTTAAAGTATAATAAATAAAAAAATTAATAATAATAAAAAGAAGAAAGAAAAGAAGTCTAATTGGCTCACATTTCTGCAAGCATGGCTGGGGAGGCCTCAGGGATATTACAATCATGGCAGAAGGTAAAGAGGAAGGAGGCCTGTCTTGCATAGCTGGAGCAAAATAAAGAGAGAGAAGGGGGAGGTGCTACAATCTGATCTTTTGAGACCTCACTCACTATCATGAAAACAGAAAGGGGGAGAATCTGCCCCCATCATCCCATCACTTCCCACCAGGCCTCTTCTCCAACAATGGAGATTACAATTTGACACGAATTTGGGCAGGGACACAAATCCAAACTGTATCAGACACTAAGGCAACTCAATGGGGAAAGGAAAGTATTTTTAAAGAATGATGCCGGGTCAACTGAATATCCATAAGACAAAAATGACCCATGACTCTTACACTTCACTTTGTACACAAAAATTATTCAAAATGGATCATAGAATCATAAAAGCTAAAATTTTAAGACTTCTAAAAAAATAGAATATCTTCATGACGTTGGAATAGGCAACAATTTTATAGACAGGACACAAAAATCTGTAACCATAAAAGTAAAAAAAAGATCATTGCCTTTCATCAAAATTTAAAGCTTCTGTATATCAAAATATATCATTAACAAAATGAAGAGGCAAACCATAGGCTGAGAGACAATATTTACAAAATGTATATCTGACAAAAAAAGTTGTATCCACAATATAAAAAGTACTCCTACATATCAAAAATAAAAATATAAGCACCTCCTACTTTTTCAAATGGGAAAAGACTTGAGCAGGCACTTTATGGAAGAAGATATTTGAATGGACCAATAAGCATATGAGAAAATGCCCAACATAAATAGTCATCAGGGAAACGAAAACCATAATGAAGTACCACTTCATGCCCACTGGAATGGCCAAAATTAAAAGATTGGCAAAACTAATTGTTGTGAAGGATGTAGAACAACTAGAATTCCAATTTATTTAAGATGCTAGAATAAAATGGTACAACTACTTTGGAAAATAGTTTTGGCAAGTTCCTATAAAGTTAAACCTGTACCTGTCCTAGAGCCCAGTAACAGCACTAGAGCTATAACAGCTACAGTGAAGAATGAAAAGGATATTCAGAGATGGGATTTTGGCAAAATAAGATTTTTCAGTTTCTGCATGTTTAGCATTCTGTTATTTCCAGTTAATTATAATTTTTGTTCTAAGAACCCTTTGATAAGACTGTCTAGCCTGTGGGAAGATTGTCTAGCTAAAGGACAGCAAGACTGTCAGCCTGTTTGCATACATTTCCAGAAAGCTGGGAGAGGAGGATTATGCCCAGAAAGACAAAAAGATCACCTAATTATGGAGGCACACCTGGGGATTTGGATGTATCACCTGGACTACACATTCAGTCACCAAGGTGGTTTGGGCTGAGTTACCTCCTTCTCTTGAATGAAGTTCTCAAAGACAGTGCCACAGGATTCATTTATTTTCTTCTCTTCTTCTCCTGACTCCAATTCGAATTTTTTGGTCATCTTTTTTTCTGTGGAAGTGACAGGAAAGCACATATATGTATAAAGATGGGAAAAGCAGGTGCAATGAGAAACCCAGAATATCTAAAGATATAAGCAATTCCAGACTCAAGGTCATTGCAGCCTGTTGTTCAGCCTCTGACACTCACCTGGAGGTGCTTGAGGGTGAGGTGAGCATGGTGGTTGTCCTCAATCACATTAGTCATATGGGATTTACCACCAACATCTCTGGTTCTTTTGTGTGTAGTTTATTTTGAATCTGTTGCTTTTTATTTTGTCCATTCCCTCTGCTGACATAACCACTATGCTATCATGGATATCCTTATCTTAAAGTAAAGCTCTTGGCTAACATTACTTTGCCAGCAATAAAATTCATCCTGTACTTAGTGCTGGGGTAGAGGTAGGCTTCAACTTAGTGTTCAGACACTAAGGCAACTCAATGGGGAAAGGAAAGTATTTTTAAAGAATGATGCCGGGACAACTGCAAGGAAACCTGCCAGTAGAGCCCCAGTATCAAACAGGAGGAAGGAGGGACGAAGGGAAACAGATTTCTTCAGTGTTGCAATTCTGGGGAAGGACAGGGAGTGTCTGGTCTGACAGGGTAAGCCTCTGACTGAGCTGGATGGTGAGCAGCTAAATTCTGGTCTTCCAAAACTGGTGGTTATATCTTTACTTAGACTTTGGCAACATGGGAAGAGAGTCATTATGAGTAGCTAGAATCTGGGATATGACTTGGGTTCTATTGCACTAAAATTCTAGGTAAAGCCCCAAACAGAAGCAGCTCCCCATCCCATTCCCCAGCCTTACTCCAGGGTCTTCATATTACTTTCTGGCAGTCCAGAGTGCCTACCAGAATGTGAATTAATTTTCCCATGTAGTATCTGCATTTAAATGAGTAATTTGTTAAAATCAACTAAATCTGAAATGAATGTGGTTGGCGTGGAATGCAGAATAGGTCTGTAGAGGTCCCACTCCTACCTCCACTAGTCTTCTAGGCCTGGAGTAGTCTCCACAAATTCTCTTCTTTTTTCCTTTTATGAACAAGTTCAATGGAGATCGGGGGTACACCTATAGAGTACTTTGTATGATGCAAGCTCTGTGTTGTTGGAAATATTAAAAATATTTAGCAAGTGTGAATTCCTTCTGGAAGATGTGGGAATATAGAAGCTCTTAGTATAATGGATTGTGTTTTTCCTATCTGCCCACCACCCACATGCAAGTGAACATTTCACATTCTAATTAAAGAACTCTTGGAACTTTGAGTTCATCTGTTTCTAGATAATAAGTCTGCACTCCCTACAGGGATTCTAGCATTTGTTCCAGCCATCATGGGCAAACTTGGACCTAATGAGTTTCAGAAGGTATAGGCTTAGACTCTCTTAGATCAGGTGCCTGAACTTCAAAAAAGACCCTACCCTTGTTGTCATTTTGCTTTCATGAAAACTCTGGGCACCTTCCATTCAGGTATCTAGCATGTGGCCCATCACCCTTGGTAAGCCCAAGGCCACCTTCCTCAAGTCAAGACCAGACTTCATGGCAGTTTTTTAATGCATTTGTCACAAAAAAAAAAAAAAAAAAGCTAGAGTTTCCGTACTCACTTTGCTGTAGCACGATATTTTCTCGCTCCAACTTCTCATCCTTCTTCCATTTTGCCTTCTGTTTTGACCACTTCTCTTCCATTTCATCATAAATACTGTCCTGGGGAGGTACAAAGGCATCATGAAGAAAAGAGTCCTAAAATGAAGGTGATCTGGAGAGGCTGTAAAACTCAACTCAGGGAGGACTTCTCTTGGCACTGCACAGTGGCCAGGGCCCAGCACCATGTTCTGTGTATCTTCCCTTACCTGGGGCCCTCACTGAGTGGGTCCTCCATGGGTGACTGGTGGGAAGTAAATTCCAGCCCAGCCCAACAGAGAGCTTGTGGAACCCAAAGGTCAAAGGCAAACTATGCACAGTGTTTTCCCCACTAGAACTGAGCTTCCTTTGAAGACAGGTAGAGTTCTCCATGTTGAAGAATCATATGTCAGTTCCCCCTGAATCACAAATCCCTCTTCAATAGCACAAGAAGAAAGGAGGCCGGGCGCGGTGGCTCACACCTGTAATCCTAGCACTTTGGAGGGCAGAGGCATGCAGATCACGAGGTCAAGAGGTCAAGACCATCCTGGCCAACAATGGTGAAACCCCATCTCTACTAAAAATACAAAAATTAGCTGGACGTGGTGGCATGCACCTGTAGTCCCAACTACTTGGGAGGCTGAGGCAGAAGAATCGCTTGAACCTAGAAGGCAGAGGTTGCAGTGAGCCGAGATCATGCCACTGCACCAGCCTGTTGACAGAATGAGACTCTGTCTCAAAAAAAAAAAAAAAAAAAAAAAAAAAAGAAAAAGAAGAAAAGAAGAAAGGAAATGCCTAGTTAATTTGAACACTTACAAAATAAGGGGATGTTTTTCAGAGAATGTCTGCTTTTTCTCCAGCAAATCTAACTTTCTTTTGTGGTTGAGGTTAAATAAGCCTAATCCAATACCAATACTGTTGCTTGGCTCAGACTTCATGAACATGGAACCCTAGAAGGGGGAAGACCCTGGACCTGGATGCTGCTCGCAGGGTCCAAGGATGCTGACTGCCTTCTTTTTCAGGTTAGCAGAAGGATTCACACCCGACCTATTCTATTTACCACTCACACATGTTAGGCTGTTCTCTATGATGTTTTCCCTGAATATACCAAGGAGTATCTTAAAAAATGAGTTTTAGACACAGGCTTAAAACTGAAACTGTAAGTGTTAAATAGAACTCCAGGTACTGGTGTTTAACTTTTGATAGAGTGACCAAGTGTCCTTGTCCGTCTGACACTTAGGGGTTTCCTGGGACTCTGGACTCTCAGTACTAAAACCTGGAAAGTCTCAGGCAGACTAGAACTAGTTGGTCACTATACTTCACAATTAAATAGGAAGAAGGCTTGAGGCTTCAGTCCTTTCCCACCCCACTGGTCATCTCTTAACTCTCTTCATCTACCTAGTAAGAATCATGCCCTAACTTTATTTTCCTAGGCCTTCATCAAATGAGCTGATTAAATGGATGGGTTTTATTCTAAGATGATGTGAGCACTCCATGCTTTGCTTTTGGCAGTGCGGAGTGATACATTATTTTTGGATGGCAATTTGGCCAAATATATTAAAGGGCTTAAAAATGTTCATTCCAAAACACGAACAAACTAACCTCAAAGCTAGGAGAAGAAAAGAAATAACTAAAATCAGAACAGAACTGAATGGAATCAAGATTCAAAAATCTATACAAAGAACCAATGAAACAAAAAGTTGGATCTTTGAAAGGATGTGCAAGACCGATAGCATGCTAGCTACATTAACAAAGAAAAAAAGGATAATCCAAATAAGCACATTCAGAAAGGACAAACGTGACATTACAACCAATCCCACAGAAATACAAAAGTTCCTCAGAGACCACTATGAACATCTGTATGCATACAAACAAGAAAATCTACAGGAAATGGATAAATTTCTGGAAATACAACCTCCAAAGATTGAATCAAGAAGCAACTGAAACCCCAAATAGACAATATTGAGTTTTGAAATTGAATCAGTAACAAAAAAACCTAACACACACACACAAAAAAACAAATTCTGGGACCAGAAAGATTCACAGCCAAAATCTACCAGAAGTACAAAGAAGAGCTGGTACCAATTCTACTGAAACTATTCCAAAAAAATGAGGAAGAGGGACTCCTCCCTAACTTATTCTATGAAGCCAGCATTATCCTGATACCAAAACCTGGCAAAGACAAAAAAAGAAACTACAGGCCTACAGGCCAACATCCCTATGAAGATAGACTGAAAAAATGCTCAACAAAATACTTGCAAACTGAATCCAGCTACACATGAAAAAGTTAATTCATGGTCAGGCATGGTGGCTCATACCTGTGATCCCAGCACTATGGGAGGTTGAGTCAGGAGAATTGCTTGAGCCCAGGAGTTTGAGCAACATGATGAGACCCCATCTCTACAGAAAAAATAAAAAATAGCTCTATGTAGTAGTCCCAGCTCTTTAGGAGGCTGAGGTGTGAGGATCACTCCAGCCCAGGAGGTTGAGGCTTCAGTGAGCTGTGATTGTGCCACCCATGTGACAGAATAAGACACTGTCTCAAAAAAAAAAAAAAAAAAAAGTTAATTCACCATGATCAAGTAGGCTTCATTCTCACAATGCAAGGTTGGTTCAACATATGTGGTTCCATAAATGTGATTCACCACATAAACAGAGTTAGAAAGAAAACCCATATGATCATCTCAACAGACATGGAAAAAACCTTTGATAAAATCCAACATCCCTTCATGATAAAAACTCTCAGCAAATTAGGTTATCAAAGGAACATATTTCAAAATAATAAGAACCATCTATGACAAACCCACAGCCAACATCCTACTGAATGGGTAAAAGCTGGAAGCATTCCCCTTGAGAACTAGCACAAGACAAGGATGCCCACTCTCACCACTCTTATTCAACATAGCACTGGAAGTACTAGCCAGAGCCATTAGTCAAGAGAAAGAAATAAAAGGCATTCAAATAGGAAAAGAAGAAGTCAAATTTTTTTTCTGTTCACTGATAATATAATTCCATACCTAGAAAACTCTAAAGAATCTGTCAAAATGCTCCTGGAACTGATAACAAGTTCAGTAAAGTTTCAGGATACAAAATCAATGAACAAAAAATCAATAGCATTTCTATACACCAATAATGTCCAAGCTGAGAGTCAAATCAATAATGTAATCCCATTCAAAATAGACACAAAAAGAATAAAATACCTAAAAATACAGCTAACCAAGGAGGTAAAAGGAGAACTACAAAATGCTGCTGAAAGAAATCAGAGACAACACAAACAAATGGAAAAACATTCCATGCTGATGGATTGGAAGAGTCAATATCATTAAGATGGCCACACTGCTTAAAGCAATTAAGAGATTAAATGCTATTCCTGTCAAATTACCAGCATCATTTTTCACAAAATTAGAAAAAATTATTGTAAAATTCATATGGAACAAAAAAGAGCCTAAATAGCCAAAGCAATCCTAGGCAAAAAGAACAAAGCTGAAGGCATCTCATTACCTGACTTCAAACTATACTATTACTACAAGGCTACAGAGATGGTGGACGGGAGGCAGGACTAGATTGCAGCTCCCACTTGGATGGACAGAGCAGCATGTGGTCTTGCATCATGAACTTTTGCTCCAGAACTACTGCAGGAATAATTCAGGAAAGTCAAGAGAATCCACAGGCCCTCTGAAGGAAGTAGATTGCTCCTGCAGGACCTGGGAGATGCCCCAAATACTGTGAGTGTCCAAACTGTGGAAGTAGGAAAGGGGGATTGTTCACCTCCAAACACACAACCTTACTGGGGAACCTGAAGGTCTAGATCATGGGAGAAGATTCTGACCTTTTCTGGAGCTGAGTCAATTTAGAGAACCAAGTGAAATACAGGGTTAGAGGAAGTAGCGGGAAAAGCCCTGTGGGCTCTCTGGGTTCCCAGGGAAGCCATTTCTGACTTGTCTCACAGGGCTACCTGGGGAGGACTGCCAGAGGAACTTGGAAAAGATCACAGGTAGAAGGAAAACTCCAGCTGAACTTTGTAACAATTCCAACTGAATAGGAAATCTCCTGGCCAGAACTTGGGGGAAGGCATGAATCTGGTGTGCAGACCCCACAGGCAGGGAAACACAAAAGCACTAGTTGCTTTTGCAGGTGGGAGGCTGGTAGTCTGGGGCAAGTTCTCAGCCCTGTTTGCCCACTGCCTGGAGACAGACTTGGTGCTACTGGGTTGGGGGCATGGTGCAAGTAAGATCAATCTTCTGGGTTTCATGAAAGCTGGGTGAAGTCTGTGACTCCCAGTTTTCCCCACTTCCCTGACAACCTGCATGACACAGCAGAGGTAGCCATAATCCTCCTGGGAACATAATTCCATTTACCTGGGAACCACACCTCCATCCCCCATAGCAGCTGCAGCAAGACCCGCCCAAGGAGAGTCTGAGCTCAGACATGCCTAGCCCTGCCCCGACCTGATGGTCCTTTCCTACCCACCCTGGTAGCTGAAGACAAAGGGCATATACTCTTGGGAGTTCTAGGGCCCCACCCACTACCTGATCCTCCCCATACTACTACAGCTGATGCTCTCTTGAAAGTGCCACCTCCCGGCAGGAGGCCAACCAGCACAAAAGTAGTGCATTAAATGACCAAAACTAAGCACCCTCACAGAGTCCATCTCACTCCCCTGCTACCCCTACCACAGCAGGTGCTGATATCCACAGCTGAGAGACCCACAGATGGTTCACATCACAGGACTCTGTGCAGACAACCCCCAGTACCAGCCTGGAACCTAGTCTAGGCCTGCTGGGTGTCCAGATCCTAAAAAGAGATAACAATCACTACAGCTTGAGGTCTCAGGAAGCCACATCCCTAGGAAAAGGGGTAGAGTACTACATCAAGAGAACACCTCATAGGACAAAAGAATTTGAACAACAGCCTTGAGGCCTAGACCTTCCCTCTGACAGAACCTACCCAAATGAGAAGGAACCAGAAAACCAACTCTGGTAATATGACAAAACAAGGTTCTTTAACATCCCCCACAAAATCACATTAGCTCACCAGCAGTGGATCTAAACCAAGAAGAAACCCCTGATCTACCTGAAAAAGAA